GGTCGGATTTCCAAAATTTACCTTCGTAAAAATAGGACTATATTCAAGTGGAAGGGATCTCATGAATGTAATTCCCCCCTTCCTCACCTTTATCAGGCCACCACCTGTAAAAATCAGGTGAAGTGGAAAAGCCTCTAAAAATAAGCTTGTAATCGCAAGGCAACTGGTATTTTAAGGTTGGTTTTTGTAAAAATGACTCCCTACAGGCCATTTTTTAAAAAATGGGTGAGTTTAAAGTATTATTAATTGCTCGAAAATTCAAAGCACGTAAGAGTCCAGTGATGAGGACCAGGGAACCCTTTGAAATTCAGTTTAAAAGCTAAAAGAAGCGATAAATTGTATCGCTTTGTTTGTTTTACAATTTGGTTTGGTTTTGCGAGCACCTAAGGCTGAGCTTTTGTGTTCCCAACGTGTGGTGTGGCCCTTGGGCCATGCCGGTAGCCTCCAGTTCCTTTGTGCTTAGCCATACATTTTCCTTCCTGTTACCATGGCAATTTTAGACTTCAGAAAATAACTCGGGATGCTACACTGGTGCCAGCGGAAAGCGAACATGAACATAAAGGCAAAATACCCTAATTTTTACTGCGGAGTGCCAAACCTTAACGTGACGTAAGAAGAGCATTTGTTATAAATGGTAGAATCTGTGACGACCCCTGACAGACGGGTTGTAAATGGCGTCTACTTTCGGCATCCACCTCTGTCTACCACGCTACAAGAATGTCATTTACAAGTAAAGTTGCTTTATCTGTGGTCGTGAACGGTCCGATTTGGTTGTTACGGTGGTGTCAACAGTGCCTTCTCCACTTCAACTAGCCCTATTGGACTCGGGTAGACATATGGCTGGACGGCACTGAAGTGAGAAGGAAGTGGCAGAGAGAAAACAATGCGAAATCTTAGCATCACGAAACTACTTTAAGTCCATGTGCCTTATTAATTGACTGCTTTCGAGTCAGTCCTCTTCCGGCTGACGATGGACTTACGAGATGGCCGATACCTTCCTCCTTCATCGAATACAGTTTCCATACAGGATTAAACTCTAAATCCAGTGGAATTGGTAAGAAGGATCAATGACGTTTTGGTCAAACATCGTCTCAGTTGCACGAAAATTCGATGACTGATTTGTGGATGCCTTCCTTACAGCGCCGGCTACTCTGCAATGGTTGACGTGGGGAAAAGTTCAAAAGGAGAGATGGGCCATGTAAAACTGTGGTTGCTTGTTTAATTCTTCGTTTCGGGGGCTCCGCTATTGTATCTTTGACGAGCAGTCTAGCCTCCGGGCCATAACAAAAGCCACCCGGTTCTATTTTTTACGTCAGCACTGCATACTCTGCCCTAGTACCGTCTTCTTTTGACTTTAGAAAGTGCTCAAAAGTTGCTGAATGACTACATTTGTTGAAATGGAAACATGTGAAATACACATAGTTTTCGACAGACAATAAAATTCAGAAATATCTTGAGCGTCGTCTCAAATCAAAACGATTTTCCAGCGAAGAAGATGCCTCACTGTCAATGAAAACTACCTGGGATGATAGGCTTTGTCTTCATTTTTGGACTTTAGTATTCTCAAATAAGGCACGGAACTTGTGTTATTTCTTAAAGTTCTTTCACCTCAATAGGCGACTGGGCACTGGTGGATTGCATGGCCCACAAACGCATAGCTGCTCTTTCGTATACAGTTTACTGCACAACTATACCTGACATAATGAATTCCACTGTACACTGTAAAGAACCGTACAACTCCACTTTGCGTCAAATGCGTCTCCTAATTAGTTGACCAAATGGATTTTAATTTTTTTTCTGCAAATCAAATCCTCCTCCAGCATTAGCAGCTTGTTTGTTTAAACTGGAAAAGTGGTTCTGCAGTGCCTGAAATCTACAAAGTTGTATTTGTGAGGCTAAAACCGATGCCGTTGCAAGGACAGGCATACCTCTAGTCTCAATTTGCTCGCACCTTGGTACCAATGGAGCAGGCTACCGCAATTGGTAATTGACATGCTATTCTAAGATGAGGAGATCAGAACGCGTGCCTGGAAGTCGAATGATTAGATGTAATCCAGATAGGTAAAAGACGCTATAAACTGAAACTGACTTCCCATCTAGTTAGGATCAGAAGTCACCTGCCCCATTTGACCTTAAGTAGCCGAGGAGAAACTCTTGGGTGCTTTCATAATATTAAATATCATTCTGCATCACTTAGTCAATTACTTTCACTGGTGATCATTCACCCTAGTACATTTTGAGCAATTTGGAAGAGGTAACCTTCTGACTCATGAAGTCTGTAACCATAAAATCTCTAGCGCAATAAAATACCCTTTCCAAAATCGTCTGGAAGCACTCATTGATAATTTCAGGAATTACCTATGGATCTGAAGGTGTAAAAATCACTTCTGCAAGAGAGTGTCGGTGGTCGATGTTTGAACAAGCAGACGGTGTAACTACATTAATAGCAGAATTAATTCACTTCATTTTGACAAAGCACACACCACACAAGTTTAATTGCCTAGTGCAACATTCCGTGATGTTATGTGCTTCATGGGCAAGTTTCGGAATACTTTACACGTAACTCGAGTAAGCGGTGTCGAGTTTTCGCATTCCTTCTTCAAATTCCCTTTCCACTTCACATTGGCAGGACTGATATAAGCCTTTCCACGGTGGACTTATGTGTTGACACGCATTTTTTGACGTCATTGTGACATTTGGCAGAAAATAGACAGGACCTACTGTTTATGTTGTTATTCGAATAAGTTATTGCCGCTATTCGTCTTGTGGCCACTTCCAAGGTCACTTCTTACGAAGGCAGAAGTGGTAATTTTGCCAACAAAACGAACGTAATTTCCCTTTCATTTAATTTATACATGAAGTTGGGGGGATAATTCCGGCTTTTAGAGACTTAAAATGTATGCATTATCGAAGGGGAGACTTCGTAGTGGAATGCCAACGCTGTTGCTGCCTCACGATTTCTTTTCCAAATACCCTTTCAAAGTATCAGGCGGTCCTCACGTCGCATCTCACTGAATGGAACACATAAATATGCCACTCAAAATAGGGCCCTCCTGCAAGCCTCGTCCATTCCAGGCTCCCCAAAAAGGGATACCGTGTCGCTCTCCACTCTTGTCGATGAAACACTATTATCAGTGTTCTTAAACACCCAAAGTTGGATGAAAGAAGAAGCAGTCCAGAGAAATTGACTTCAACGAAAACAAATTCATCAGATTCTTCCAACTACTACTTGATTTTTCTGTCCCAAATTTTGCCTATTTGTCCATGCGTTTAACAAGTAGGCGTGACTTAAATGTGTGAAAGGTAACATTTATTTGGGGGTAGTATTTAGACCCAAAAGTACAAATTCTAAAGTACACTCCCAGCGTGCGTAGCTTTCGGATTTCCCGTGCCTGAACTCTACATCATGCATGTGCGACTTGTGTACCCTCGAAAATTGCGCTTGCATTGACGTGCGTCGCGAAGCGAATGGCTGAGTTCAACGACATAAGGTGGATTTCCGAGGTTCTTGACTTTCGGATAATCTAACTCCTCATTTCTTGAGTGACAGATAAATAAGCCAGCTCAATAGTTCAAGTATCGGTGTCATTTTTGGCTGTGAAAACATTTAAAGTGGTGGGTGATAATCGTCAAGGCTTCAGAAGGAGAAATAAAACATTCCTTACCTTTTTGACAGCAACGGTGAAATTAGGAAGAATGCAAAGTAGTTTCAAATTTAGTGTATTGTCACAAGATCTGCCACTAGTCTCAACTTCACCGAAGGCTTATGGCCTCTGAAACGAAAACATGCGCTCTCCATATGGTGGTTATTCACATCGTTCATTGCGATCTTAGTAGCGGTATGTATCAAGTAATTTGAGTCACTTGTCAACGCTACGGGAGTTCACTTAGGGTTCAATCAGGGCTGCTACGAAAGAGTATAATCATGAAGGTGTTCGGTCATCGAATTCCCTTCCATCATCGGAAACATATCTAGCAGCTCAAGCGCGAATCCCTTAATTCGAAGTTTGGAAACGAAGAAAAGGAGATGGTTTAATAAATAAAACCTGAGCAATCTTAGGACAGCCGGCCTAGTCATAGGCAGTCTCCTAATTTCCAAAGTTGGGTAAAGTAGGGCACTGAGATTCCTACTAGATTCCATTCTCACATTTGTTCCCCGTCAGTTTGTGTAGCGAATAAGGTGACTGAGCTTGAAACAATAAAATAAACTACCAGTAGTCATAGTCTGGCAGGTAAATCCTGTTGTCTAAAGCTTTTCTTAGGGGAATTCACTTAATCAAACCAAAAGGCCTTCACTGAAGACTTGGGTAGTTCAGTGGTGAGTTGTCACCAGTATGGTACCGCGGCAAAGCGACACCCGGTTATTTACCAACCCTGCGTTTGGGCATTGGGATTGAGCAATGGCCTTGCCTCAATATATCCATCATGGATTCCTAGTTAAACTCTGTCCACAAAAGCAAAATTTAATGGATGGATTTGATCAAACACGGATGCCAATTCGCAACGTTATGAAGCATTTGAAAACGTGTTGTACAAGCTGGTGCAGTAGCCGCTATAGCTGTGGAGGTGAGCAGAATGTTTGCTGTAAATGCCGTGTACGGAATAAATAAGAGCCTTGATATACCTGAGGTCATGGTTAACAACAACCAGTTGAGGTGATATTCAATCTGTTTCAGTGACCTTGAACCGCATACCCTTTAGTGGTCATCTCGATGTGAGGCATCCGATGGATTTGTGCACCTCATTTCTTCTTCCAGCCTTGTGACAGTTGAGTTGTCAGGGTTACAGTATTTTTTCCGATTTGTTGAAACCAAAACAATGGGTTTTTGTGAGAGGTACAACGTCAGCTCTTCCTCACTCGAGGAACTAATTCTTCCCTCCAACCTCAGATGACACGATTTGTAGACAACGACCGATTGATTCCGCAAACAGTGCGATTCCTCAGTTGATGAATTTGCCTTTTCAGAGTTTAACAGCCTTGTGATCACATCAATTTAAATTTTGAATACTTGTTGTATCCACCCCTCATCGATGCGTTTTTGTAAACCAAGAGGCAGCAGCCACAACGTTTCTGCCATGTCGTCACCTGGAACGTGTAACTCGATTAACAAGTAGATTCCATGTTTGTGAAAATAAGGTTCATATTCCATGGGGTGGCCTAATAAGTCCATGAGTGTTCACAGTAAAATGGCAACAATTGTATTAAGAGCTATGAAGCTTATGTTAAGTCCTTGAAAGAATGGCAATTTTCATCAATTAGCCCCACTCATCGTGTCACAAATTTGGCGCGAATTTGTATTTTCTGAAAGGTTTTGTCCCCAGAAGTGAAGGTATGGATCTCTCCTCTTCTAGCCACATCCTCAACTCCCACCACACCCTTGCTTAACAACTAACTCTCCAATCCCCCTCTGTGTGACCATATTGTGTAGAGAGCTGCCAAGACAGGATGGCAATCGTTGTTTGTGGAAGTATGAAGAATGGAAAAATGGGGAATGGAGATGAGGAAGCAGTTAAGAGTGAGGCGGTGTAGGTATCACAATTTTTTCCAATTGTTGCCTCGATCTCCATCCCAAAGTACGAAGCTTTCCACAGGTCAGTTTTGCAGTATGCGTTGTTGTCCTATTGCGAGGAAACAACCTGCCTGCGACTGATCGAGTAGACCGGTTCTGGCAGTTGCTGAAGAAGCAGTGGTTCCGCTTTTACACCTTCTGTTTATTTTCCTTCAGGTCGACAGCCCTCACCTGCAATTGCTTGACCTTCAACAAATAAGCACTTTCGTCTGCAGTCCTCCACAGATACACCCAACGTGATGTTCCTTGACTGAACGTACATTGCCATAGAAAAGGGCAAAAAATGCTTCTCATTGCACGTCAATCAGTCAACCAATCAGTGAGTCAGCTTGGTGGTAAACAATCTAGAAGTGAAGGATAGGTTAACATTGCTTCGATGCATCGAGCTTGCTGTCATCTGTAAACATCTAGTGTGGGGGTGAAGCCCATTTCCTTAGTCGCCTCTACAACTCCTGTCAAGTTGATGTAGGGCTAGACATTGCTCCATCACGCTCTTTGCATGGGACATCGCGGGGAGTTTTTTGTTGACACGCCAACCTTCAATCATTGGAATGGGTGGCAGCGCGAATACCTCTCTCTATTCCCACCAACGATAGCGGCTATTTGTTAACGTGGTACGACTAACTTCGGGTAGTTTATCACGAGAATTAAATGTGCTTAGACATTGCTGGGTAGTAAATTCGGCTGCCATCTACTACACCTTCTTTAGAGGCTACAGGTGAATTTGTGCAAGACGCTGGTTTGGGCACTGTTCAGACTGGAACAAACTAGCCTAAACCATAATGTATCACTTGGATGTGGTGGGGGATTGGTTGGACTGGTGAGAAAAGGAGGGACTAGTAAGGTAAACAATGGGGCCTCCCAATTTGGCAGACCGAGGCATGTCTATTCACCACAATACACACAAGCAAGCGTTTTTGACATGGCTCCATAAGTTACGGTACGGCATGACTACGAAATGCACCGAAAACCGCCTTAGTCGTTCTGTCGCCTGACTTATTGTAAAGCTATAATGCTTAGGCCAGGGAGATGCTACGCCTTCTCCCTTCCTTTGTAAATCGTCGAGCCTGTTTTGATGCGCCATTGGGCAAAATCACGTGATGTACATCATTCAGTACGTGCCGCTCACTTGACGATAACGAGTGTACCATAAAAGGCATCTTCTACCGAATACCTGAATTTGGCTACTGAAGCGAAATTCCTCACTATCCGCTTCTTTTTGGACTCAAATTCAACCGTGAATGCATCTGATCCTAACCACCCACTGCTCACTAACTGAAAATATTTCAATGTAGACGGTCTCAGATAACTTCCACAGTGGATTATGGTATATAGACAGCAAAATTAGGCAGATATGATTCTAACTTAAAAGTGTTAAAAGCGCAAAAGCCACCATCTACGAGCCTGAGCATACCTATTAACTTTGAAATTGCCTACCTGGCTAAATGTCGTAAATCTACGTGCCAAAAGCAGTGGTTTTGAAGGCCCATTTTCGCGTTTCATAAGGGGAAACTATCAGTGGAACGTTTTAGCTAAACTTGCAAGTAAGTTCAACGATTCTTACTTGTGAGAATCATGGAATTACATTACCGTAAAGTCGAGTTCGTGTGTCCTTTTGTAGCCTATTGGCTCTAAGGTAAACACATCAGACTGCTTCGAAGTTTGTGAAAGAAAAGCACGACAGCTGTCGCACAATGTTTTTCTTCATTCACCAATAAACAACGGTCTTGTTGAAAGGCATGGGGAAGCACAGAAATGTGTACTTTCCCACTTAATTTTCCCTATACATCCGCTTTACAGTAGTGTATCGCGATGAAAAAAAAAAAAACTGGTGCGGACTACGACATGGATTTAGAAATTCGCTCATGATTGTAATACTTTGGTTATTTGTTTAATTCGTCGTTTTAGTTTCAAGGGCACTTGTGTCTGTGGTAGTGCGCGTCCGCTGGGTGGCATGGCGTCCACGGCATGTCAGTCGCCGCCCCCTCCCCCCGGGCCTTCGATGCGTCAACAATACACAGTCTGCCCAAGCATAATGACTTTGTTCGACTGCTGGGAAGTATCGGGGCGTTACATTGATGGTAAAAGATAGCGAACCCGATCCTAAAGGTCAATTACCCTGAGCTCTGCTGCAGGGTAGTAAACATTGACGTGATGGAAGAAGGGCATTTGCTGCGGATGGGAGAATGTACGACGATGCCCAACAGAAGGGTTGCAAATGACGTCCACCCCTCGACAGCTACCACAATCCTCTTCGGCGGGAATGTAATTCACAACTGGGCCGACGCTAGCTATAAACCATCTAGAAAGTTTGTTGCTAGTGTGTCCACGGTACCAGTATGAAGACATCAATTACGTGAACATGGGATAATTTCGCCACCTTTCCACTAGCTGGATGAAACCCAGATAAGTGGATATGGCTAGGCAGCACTGAAGTGAGGACAAAGTGACAAGGAGGAACAGATGGAAAACTTTACCCCGACTGAACTGTTTTAAACCCTGTTCTTTATTAAATGACACTTCTTTTGGTAAGTTCTCCCACGACCAGCAGTGGATATGCACGATGGTCTGCGCATTCAACCTCCCCCCAACACAGTCGACGAAACACTTTCGGTTCTGCACTACGTAGCAAATAAAATTAACTTTCATCCATCCCCTGTCTTTGCACCCAGTTCACTGATCATCAAGCATTGGAAATACTTCCAAAAATGACCTTCTTAGCACTGTTGAGAATCTTTCTTCCCAAAAAAAGGCATTATAAGAGAGACTTCCTAACAATAATGGGCAAAAGGTGATTATGAGCGCAGAACTGCATGGGTACAAATTAGTGGTTGGCTTTCTTTTGGCATTGAAATGCCGTAAACAAGTCCACAAATCACATTACCCTATTTAAATATCCTTAGCCTTTTTAATTATCCCGATTGAAAGGTGTTTACCTGTTCACACAGTGGAAACAAAGTTGACCGTTTTGTTTTTTTTCATTCCATGGGCGTAAGATATGCAGTGAAACCGAGGTGTGGCTTCCTCGTGATTAGGTGTTTGTGAAGTGAACTTTGAGTTTTTTGCGTGATAAACAACTGGCATGATTTGGATAAAATCAGGCCGGAAGATTTCGCCTCCTTTTGGGAATGGTGGAGGACCTTTTAATAGGTCTTCATAACATCCCAAGGCCAGCCCCCGGGTTCAAGATGAAATAAAACTATTACACCGGAATAGGCCACTCGGAGTGAAAAGAAAGTTTAAAAATAAGTAGAGATACAAAAGACCGAAACTGAATTAATGGAGAAGTGGAATTCCGCTGTGTGTGGTTGGTAAACAACTTAGCTGAATGGATTGGGTTTGGCAAGTTACGGACCTTTTGAGGAGTTATTGCCTTAATCACCTTTCCAACTCTGGTTAATTCGTGGAAGAAATTCCAAAGTGGGATAATTAACTTAAAATGGCGTTTGGTGTGCTGAAGTTTGCCTCGACAAAAAACCAATGTGCCATAACATCATCACAGGTGGTGATCGTGCTTCCAATGAAGTTACCCTGTGAACTACCGGAGCAACATCGGAGGCCTTAAAGCTCCTTTCGCTTAATTTTCATCTAAACCACAAAATCCCACCCTCGTCTAATTCTGTCCCTTTCATGATAGCAAAAACCTTAACCACAACTAGGACGATTTTATAGAATTTGGTCTGAAATCCAAGAATTTTATCATAGAGGGGTAGTTGGAGTTTAAAATGTGCTAAATATCATTGCCGTGGGCCAAAGGTCATCTTTCGGATGCACAGAAAAAACGTAGTGCGAACGGATTGTTTAGCAAGATCAGAGAGCGTCAAGAGGCAAGAAATTTCCACGTTTTTCGCCTAACTTGCAGCAAGGACTTGGTGTTACTGGTGGAGAGGGCAGGTGACTCACTGCCCCTCCCTTGTTTCCCTCGCATGCATATTTCGCCAAACTATGATTGTCACCCTGTCTTGACAGCACCCTCAACACTAGATGGCCACACATAAAGGGTATTGGCCAGTCAGTTTAAAAGCAAGAATGGGGTGGGTGGTAATGGATTGCGTCTTTCCTTGTCTATTGGAACAAACCTTTCAGGGAAGAGGAAATTGCATTAACCGCATGCCTCGCTGAGAAGGGATAGTAGACCAAAATTGCCTTGTCTTCGAGAATAAAAAGTTTGCTATTTGATTTTTAGCGTAGAAACCGAGCGACCTTGTTTGACTTCCCCTTTACTTCTCGGTCCCCTTGCTAGTCGGTTTCCCTCTGAGACATTTGCAGCTAACATGCTAATCAAAACCCCTGTGTTTTGAAGTCATCCCACTGCAAATCGCCTTATCACTGCTTTTGGACAGGAAATATAAAATTCAACCCGTTGGTAAGATTACTGGCTAGGAGTAAAGTCACAAAGCCTGCTAAAATGGAACAGGCGAGAAATTTCGTTTGGCGCCAGAAGTTAATATTTTTGCATCATCATAATAGAACTACTTACAGACCTCCAAGGCTTGTAATTCGATTCATACAATATCTTGAAATCACCAGACTTGACTTTTGTGGACTTTCCAGTGGCAATTTATAGCTCAAGCAACCAAAGACATACTCAAAGACCAGGGACTTTATTTGGTGGGAAATCTGTCTGGCTTATTTCTTCCCACGAAAGGCTGAAAACGGCAATGGGGCATTCTTGGCATGGAAGACTTTACTCAATCAGGATAGGCAATTGTGGGGCAAAAAGGACTCTACCCAATAGTAATGCAGTAAGAAATCAGGAAAGAGGAGTCGGGTCGACCGTACCATGAACCTGCGTGTGCGTAAGTGCGTCTTAGAGCAGATCAGAAGGAGTTTACGAGGCAGTGGTGGTGGTGGTAAATGGGGAATAGGGGGAATGATTATTAGAGGATTGAGCTGTTTTGGTACCAGAGGAGGCGACATGCACTTGCATCTTAGTGATCGCCCACCTCCGAGATTTCTGGTATGTCAGTGGCCTTGGAATAGCGCCGGGTATTGTCGTAAATGAGATTCTTTACTCCCACCGGCTGGTCGTATTCGTCCATGGATGCCGAGCGGTTGCGGATCTTTGGAACGTTTCCAGTTGCGCTTAGGCGTCTGTTGACCGCACCGCTAGCTGGAAGATGGAAAACGACAATTTGGTGGTTCATGTGTAGATGTTTTGAAGTCAAAGGTACGTTCTGAATTCCACTGTTTCATACACAAATGATTTTTGAAACGACTGATATTTTAACAACGGCCTTATATTGCCATGGAAAGGCCGGAAGTGAGCGTTTTTCGTACAGGCAAAACAAACTCTCCAAAATTTATGCGTTTTCAATTGCTTACCAATTCAAGTTCCCATCAAAATCGTGTTGCTAATACATCTTGCTCCCTTCTTTGGAAAAGAATTTTGAAAGACATTATGAGATTAACCAACCGAATGACCGCCTCTAGCCTCGACCTTTATGGTCGTGTAACTAAATTTGTCCTCCCAGTCGGTGTTTACGCAGCAGAGCAGTTATAAACCCCAATTACATTCACAAGGCTACACTCAAGCTCTTAAAGCGTCCTTTGAATTGCTTTAGCGTACGTAGCTCAGCTTCTCAAAACACTAATTGGGTGAAAAATGTAAAGAACTGCAAAAAAGATTGTTATCATCCAAGTTGACGTCAGCATATTCTTGGCTTTTACGAGCTCTAGGGGAGAAAGTGACGAAAATTAAGTAGCGCTACCATTCCTTTTGGGTAGTTAAATTTTGTTTTCATTTTCATTGTGAAAAAGTTTTCATAGCTGAATCTTCCAGCATTTTTTTATGAAATTCACATCATCTCATTTGAGATTTTAGTGAGAATCACATGTACAACAAAATAAACGAAAACGGCTAGCTTTCATTTTCTGTTCTTTACTCAACCAATCCGTGGCCGCGACAACCACGCTTACCTTAGTCTTTTTCTCTTGACCTATAAATTCGACAAGAAAGTGAAAATAAGAAGTAGGTGAAACAAAACTTACCTACACCCAATCCCTGCATGAAGTTCTGCACCGACTCAGCAACTTTCTCCGGCTATAAATTTAAACAGTATTATTTTTCATTCTTCTTATCGCCTCAAAAATGGCTTCTGGGTGATTTTAGTCCCTAATTCTACAAGATGTAATTCGTAGGCAATTTCTTCTCAAAGCAATATTCAAGTTCTTCTGAGTAGAGGCAAAAATATGAGAGGTAACCTTGGATCTGGAAGGCTAGAGCGCAGGCGTACGCAAGCACCAGAGTACGGGGAACGGGTAAAGTTCCAGCGTGCAAGTAATTATGTTCTCGGAGGATGCAATTTAGCTACTTCAATCCTCAGTCCCACGACACTTCACACGTCCACGATTGATAGGCCCGCAAGTTAACCGAGTTTTTCACACCCGCTCGTTGTAGTGCAACACAGAATTGGCGATAACACGTTTCCGAATAATGACATTCCGAACCAAAAATATTTTTCTGACATCCCCGTCGAAGATGGTGGCAGATAGGCATTAAGCAGCCAGAGGTGAAGTGTGTATTTAGTTAATGGTGTATCCACAGCACCGAAAGTCGATTATACATTCATTGAAGATTAATATGACCTTCTGGGTCAAATTTTCTGGTTCTTTTCCTGCAAAAATCGATGGTTAAACTGACCAATAGCACTTAGTAACTTAAGCCGATCGTTTCTCAGGTAATATTTTTTATAGTGAGTAATCCCTCTTAAATTGGAACCTATAGATTAGTACTTCTGGTAGTGGTGATAAGAAAGGTATGAAGGAAAGGAGAGACGGCAACTCACCCTTTCCCGCATGACATTGGCGACTCCGTCAATCTCAAGAATCTCCACATTGGCCTTACGCGCCGGCTGGTCCTTCAGAGCATTCATAAGGGCGTTGTAGAGCGTGTAGACGGTGTGGTTGAAGGAGGCAACTGAGCCCGTGATAAAGAGGACTGGGCATCTTTTGGAAAAAATTTTTAACTAAAATCACGGTGTTCCTTCTCTTACAATAATCGACTCCTAAACAAAGGACCTAGTGACGAATTTCGATAAATAAACCAAAACATTTAGTGTTTCTATACAAATAGTTGACATACTTCAAGTTTCCAATTGAATCAGTGATGTTTGTTCGCCTAAAAAACGGAGAAATAGTGGTCAATTAGAAGCCAAAAGTTACTTATTAGTAAAATAAGGATTAATATTCGCTTGAAATGCAGGCACATAATGCAACAAATTATACTAATGAATTGGTCCGAAATTATTTAGTAGAAACTCACACCATGAAAGCTTGGATAAACTTATTGAGATTTTTGGGATTGATGTTCTCACGGAGCGATTGGAGGAAATTCTTGATAGCCCCCCGAAGTTCGGCTTCTGTTGTAGCTTTTATAAACTTGATAAAGATATCAAGAAGTTTCCGGTTTAAGCAATCAGTTTGTCAGCTTCCTATTTCTATACTCAATACACCAACTTACGCTAGGATCTTGCTAAAATTTAAAAATATTAAAGGTTAATATCGTAAATGGTGAGATTTTGGGTCAATTTTCTTTGCACTTACCACACCAAAACGATGAAGTACCAGATAGTTCTCTACACTCGGGTGCATACCAATTGTATTCAGTTTCCATGAGTTCACCTGTAAAATAAAAAAAGAGCATGAGGTTTGAATAAAAAGTAAATTTGACAAAAAAATAGAGAAAGCAAAGTGACGTAGCGAAAGTTGGCCCCAAATAAAAGCATTTCCTTACACGGTCCCGAAGGGACTCCATGAATCCAGCAGTTGTGCCAGTGCAGTGAATAAGAATAGCTCCAAGACAAATATCTTCTCGAGCCATCTACAGGAAAATTAGGGGAATTCAAAAGGAACCTACAGCAAGCCGAGCAACAATGTTTGCGCCAGCACCATCACCAATAACAACGACATGTTTCAATTCAAGGCTATCACAAAGTTCTGAGATACCCTCCGAGATTTTTTGCATTGTAGGAAATTTCCAGCTAAAAGGTTGAAGAAATATATGAACTAAGGAATAGAAAATGCTCCTAAATAAACATTTGTGAAAACCACAATATTCTGCCACATTAAAAAGAAAACAGCCGAAAACACATAGACAATACGTATCATATTATTCGGAGTAAAAAATCGAAATCACGATGACGGGAGCAAGTATCAATACGGCTCGTGAGGCGCAAAGACAAATAATTAACAGAATAGCATTTAATGTAAAATTTAAAATCTATCATCTTTCCTACTCTGACGGGAGATCAGGCATGTTGTCCCCTTGCCCAGGTACTTCAACATGAATCCAAAATACGCGTTGAGTGAGCTGGCTCATGTGCTCGTTATTTACAAATTCAAAAAATTCATTGTCTTAAAAGCATAATAACTAGCAATATACATCTTACAATTACATCCGAGATCATGAACTGTGAGAGCAGCAACATCTTTTCCTACACGACCTCCCTGCTTAAAATAAATGTGGTAAAAATGGGATTTACGTGTAGGTATGCAGTGAGGGGACCGCATGATTTAGTATCTACTGTAATTTTCTAAAAGAGGAAAAAAGTTAAGTTTTTCGCACTAAATAAAAGGGCCTAAGTAAAAAATTACCTGAGGTTTCTGGGAGGACATCAGTGGGCCGTGCGAGAACAGTTGAAAATGCAGCGACTGTTGTCTAGGGCTGACTGGATAACTCAAACAAAATCTCAAGGTTATAGCCACTAAATTTAATAGAGATCTTACCTCAAATCTGTAATCGCAATTTTTTATTTAAAGGCACAAGTTAATTTACATAAAATTAAACTGTGTGAATTATTATAAAGTCATGCTAAATGGGTCAAATTTACAAAAGATGGCTAAATCCAAATCTGCTAAATTTGTATAGTAACACATTGACTATCTATTAAGTTCACCATTTTGGCAGTGTAAGCACTTGTAGCTTGGTTATGGTACTGCATCCAAGCAAACCAGCCTTCGAGTCTTACCACTAGCCCTCCAACACTTCGGAATGTCCGTAACAAAATTTCTGTTATGGTTTTGTTTCTTTAGTCTTCAAGAATGACTCGGAGCACTGCTGCAATACCATGGTTGTTTGTCTCTTGGTACTAGCAAGGAGCCACTCTTGACTTAGTCTTTGTACCACGCCGGGCGTTCTGGTTTTTGGGCCGTGCCAGTGGCCCAAACACCTTCTCTGTGCTGAACACTTTGTGTCTTCTTTTGTCTTCGGGGAAGTCTCGGGACGCTACACTATAATGGCATTGGTGACATTTATACTGATCCTAAAAGAATAACTTGTTTTTTTTCTTTCTGGCCTTGACATGACATGGGTAGAGCGTATACTTCGGATGGAAGAACCCGTGACGACCCCATGCAGAACAGTTTAAAATTACGTCTGTTTTTGACAACCCTTCTCTTTTGTGTTCTGCAAAAGTGCTGCTGACAGCTGAGATGGCTCTAGTTCTAGCTATAAACCATCTGGAATTGTTCGTCACATAGCTGTTGAAGTGCCCCTAGGAAACGTCAACTGCATAAACATGGGATGCCTCCTCCACCTACCTACTGACTAAATAGAACTTAAAAAGATGCATAACTGGTCAGCACTAAAATGAAAATAGATTGACAAGATGATACAGCTGCGATTCCTTATCTCCACTAAAAATTTAGGCCCCGTCCTTAATTAAACGACTGCTTTTAGGCCAGTATTCTTACTACTAGCGATGGGTACACGAGATACCCTGCTCATTCTACCTTCCCCCGGCGTACTTTCCAAACTGATCCAGTTGAATTGCCAAGATGGATTAGTGATGTTGCTGTCAAATATCCTCTTAATTGCACGCAAATCCGATGAATAGCAAGGTTGTTTCATGGCTGTTTTCTTTTACAACACCGACTTCGTCGATAATGCAGATTATGCCCTAGTGTAATACGATGGTGGTTTATCCCTCAGTGTTGGTGAAGCTTCACTTTTAAACTTTTGAATTTGCCTTCTTCTACCACGCTGGGTGGGCTGGCCTTCGGGCCATGTCAATAGCCCAAACACCTTCTCTGTGCTGAATATACATTCTGCCCATGTATTGTGTCTTCTTTCGTCTTCAGGGAAGTCTCGGGACCCTACACTAGTACTATGATTTCTCCTACTTGCCGAATGACTCGGGATCTATGTGCAATATAATAGATCATTATCTTCAGTGGCCTTTTACAATATTTTTGAAATACCAGACTTTATAGATATTCATATATATTTTTATGCTCTTGCCGATTGCAACAACGGAAAGTTTTGACCTCTAACAGTTAAGTCAATTCTTTTAGAGTAGCATTTGAGGTGAAAAATTAGACAAATACTTTATGATGGGACCGCTGCATGTGAATCCAGACTAATTGTTAATTGTTTTCGCTCTCAATAAATTCTAGGACTATTGAGATTGTTTTTTTATTGAAATCCTTAAATAAAAATTTTAATCACGTGTGAGTCTTTACTCAGTATTCATCGCAATGTTTCATTTTTGAAAACTTTTAAAGCTGCAGTGTAATCCTCGTTGTAATTAGGAAACAGGTAATAGTTGTTTTATCAGTAGCATGTAATACTTATGTTGTTTTAATGTTCCCTTCAGAGAGGAGACGGGCAGATGAGTCGAACCTCGTGACTGTGGCGTTAATGTCAAGTAACCCGTAGAGAGCTTCCACGTTCACACCCACCTCCCCAAACTTGTACTTCATTACACCACCTACTTATCCGAATAAACGTGTCAAAGTCAAATCAACCTGGGTGTTCTAAGAGTGCCAGGACCAGGGAAGACGGGATCTACGAGTCTCGCTCCACAAAGTAATTGCACTGCAGCGCCTCTAGACTTCCCTGAAGACTTATAAAGACAAAATTCGAGCAGAATATGTACATTCGGTATCAGTAGGACTTGAGGCTACTGGCATGGCCCGGAGGCCAGTTCACTCGGCGAGGGTACAATGGTGGAGCCCCAAAGTGGCCCCTTACAAAAACCGAGAGTTAAATAAACAACCAGCGTACTTTAGTACACTGTGGAAATTAATCTTTGCCTGGGAGTTTAAAGCCTGCCTCCAGATCTTTCTAATTTCATTTTAAGATGATTCTCGCAAAAAAAATGTTTTCCAGACATTTGTCGGGTAGCTATTTAAGTCCGGATAATTGAGATCTACAGCCTTAAGAGGTGAGTCACATATGTATTTCTAAGTCAAGAAATTGTGTTCCATAGCCACTTTTGTTGCTATGCCTTTCTCACCACTTTATCAAAGGTCATATTTTTAACATTGCCAACTTGTTACTTGAAGAGGTCGGCAGAGGTCACAAAAATACACCTTTGTTGCGCCAAAGTCGATTGTGAAATTATTTTAATGTTTATTAAGCATGTTTGTAGCGCTTGAGACTTAGCCGAAGAGGAAAGAAGACACACAACCAACGCAGAATGCGTACTGTCAACGCACAGAAGAGCTGGCGGCTACTGGCATGGCCAGGAGGCCAGGGTTAGGGGCAAAGGCTTTTGAGGAACCAGATAAAGCAGGAATTCTGCCTCTTGTGACAATCATGAGGGGCTGTGTAGGTTAGATTTCATCCAAGACATCTGAATTTTCCGCCTGCTTTTGTTTGATAACCTGTGCAACTTGTTGGACTGTCGACATCATCTAAACGTTAAACATAAAATACTCTTGACGTAAACGCAAGGAAACAAATCGGAATGTTTGTGTTGACATTTCAACAACGTAAAAATAACATTTATGTAGTGCACTGAGTCTTTCCTGAAGAAGAGTGGGGACATAATACTCGGGCAGAATGCGTATTGGCGACGTAGAGAGGAGTCAGAAGCCAAATGGCATCGCGCAGAGGTCATGCAGGCAAGCGGGAGTACAGAAGTGGAGCCTTAAGCATCCTTGAAATCAAACCGACGAATTAAACAAATAACCAAAGTATTGCATGTAAGACGCTTAAACGGTGCCAACTGTAACGGCTCTTGTGAACTCATTGTAAGTAAAAACTTGGGTATTGAGGAAAACGTTGGCACAATTTGGTTCTACTTAGCTGAATTCTTTAACCAGCCGGAAGGCCGAGGCATTTTCAAATTGCATAAATTCAGGTCATCCTACAAGTTTCCTTCTTGCGGTTTGAATGTCGTCTGTAAATAGGACGCGTAGTGTCAACAGATTGACGCCGCCTATAGATTTGTCTGTCATGCGTCCCTACTTGAAGTAGCTAGGCGTACCACACCCAGTCTTTCCCAAAGACGAAAGAAGACGTAACGCCCGGGTGGAACATGCATTATTGACTTAGAGAAGGGTTGGGGGCTACTGGTTTGGCCCGGAGGGCAGGCCACTCATCGAGGGCACGAAGGCGGGGCCTTAAGTCCCCGCGACACCAAAACGAAAGATTAAACAATAAATCAAAGTGTTGCAAAGGCAACTTAAGATGGGGTAAACAATTCTCGTCGTGTGATTCTTATGCATTAAATTTTTGCGGACTTAGGAAGGATATAATAAATTTGTTTGACTTAACTAGTTCAGATGCTTGTTTGAATTTCTAAATGAAAGTTAATATTAATAACGTGGGTTTGTTTTGCGATATGCATTTTACAACAAAAATTGGGCTTTTAGCCGCAGTGTCCAACAGTTATGAGCGTTCTTTATTCCATTAATAAACCATGGAGTTGTTATGCGTTGAATACCTACTTAACTCTTCGTTTTGGTTTCGTGGCCACTTAAGGCTCCGCCTTTGTACCTCTGCTGGACGGCATGGCCCTCGCACCGTTTTAGTAGCCCCCCAGCTCCTTTATACGTCCCCAAAACAATTTCTTTCCTGATAGTATGACTTCTCTCATCTTCAGAAATGACTCAAGTCACTACAATGGTGGCGGGGGAAGGAGAATCTCGTCCCGACGGCCAACCATCCTGGTTCCCATTTCTGAATGCTAAACCTATACGTCACGGTGGAAGAGCGTTTGCTGCTGATAAGTGAACTGTGACGGCCCCCAATAGAAGGGTTGAAATTAGCGCCTAACATTCGGCGACTACGTTAGTCGCATGTTCTGCAATCAAGCTATTAACAAATGAGGTGACACTGTCAGTGGCCGTGAACCAACTGGAATACTTTGTTACACAGCTGTCTGCAGTGTTTGCATGAGGATTTCAGCTAAATTGGCATGCGATACCTCCTCTCTACTAGCTGAACGGAAAGCAGATAGATATGGCTGGGCAGCAATGAAGTGAGAACAAAGCGGCGAGAAGGAACAGACGCGCGTGATGGTCATCAATTCCGAAATAGGACGAAACTCCAGATCCAGTAGAATTGTCATGAGGGATCAGTGACATGGCAGTCAGATATCTCCTTCGTTGTACACGAATGGGATGACTGGCGGTTGGTGGTGGTGGTTGGTGGTTATTTCCCTTTTAGCACAGCCATTCTTTACAATGGACGACGGGGGAGATTGATCAAGGGTAGTGCCGGGGACGACGCTAAAAAGGAGACCAGAGCCATGTCAAACTCTTCTAATGGGTTTCGTGGGGCACTTAGGGCTCTGCTTTGGTGCCTTTTCCAAGTCGGCAATATGTTGGTATCCGTTTCTTGTAAAATCCAATTCTCGATTTTGTGGTTTAGTTTACAACCAGGAATATAACTCCGGGGTGTTTCACAATCTTTTAGTATTTTGAAAAAAAAACCGCCGGTCAGGAGTGCAATCGCTGTGTCCTTTAGTACCCGCGCAATCAAAATAAAGTGCCAAACAACCCGAGTATTACGTAGTCTCAAAGTTCATCTAACTCGTCTACTTGTTACCCAAATGGCGATTAAAGTTTCAAAGTTAGTGAAGATCATAAGGTGTCCTTGTACGATGTTGTAAACTGAAGGTTTCAACCGTTCCTACAATTGGAGAGTTGAAGCCCTAGGTGAAGAAATTGCTTCATACCTTTATTGAAACTCATATTCAGTGCAGATATGTTTGCTGCATGGAGGAAGATGTCTTGTGTGATTTAGCAGCCTTGACCTAGTTGCTAAAATAACGAGGTAGGGGAAGGTGTGCCATGAAAAATACCCCGAGTCAACTTTTCTCACAATCACGGATGTTATTATTCGCTGGATGTACTTTTACTGGCCCCGGCGTTCCCTTCAACGGTCATGTTGAGCTCGTTACTGCCTGCTGGCTTTTTCACTTTACAACCACAGTCATCCTACTTGATGATGTGCGAATGGAAAGATAGACGAAAGAAGGCATAATACTTGAGCAGGATATGTATTCCTGATATAGAGAAGGGCTGGGAGACTACTGGTACGGCCCAGAATCGAGGATGTACAACGGCAGAGCCCTGGGTGCTTGGGTAACCAAAGCGAAGGGTTAAACAACCCAAGTGTTACAGTAGTTATGCTATGCAAGGACAGCTCGGAAAGAACTTCTTGAACTGCACTGGGTAAAAAGTGGATAAAGCACTGCGAATATTTTTAGTAAGAAGGGGAGACATTTTGATGGAAAAGCATATTTTCTCATGCCACACCTTAGCTACAAGCTGGTGTAACAAAACACGCTTTCGACAAACTTAACTGTCATTGACGTCGGAGAAACCTTCATCCTTGGAAATAGCACCTCTCGACGAGTATAAAGTCACCAGCTAACATGAGAAATGGCTCAATCAGTTTTAAACTGACAACTGACGCGAACCGTTTGCTGCAAGGTAGCACATAAGTGGACATCGGAGAGTAAGTTCCCAACTATTGTAAGCAGATATTTGAATGTTTGGAATCATGGTAATGAACGCCTTGCCGGTGCTAGACCTCGACGTCGGGGGCAATAAGCAGGCCCACCCTGCGATAAAGGTTTCAACTCCCCTAACTAAAGGCTGGATCGCCTCCATATTAAATAAACGCATTGTAAAGGCGTAATCCGCTGGCGAATCGATCCACAACATGACGCGGAGACCACAAAGGCAAAGAGATTCAAAAAGTTGAATTCAAATCGATAAGACGCTGCGTTATTTGAAATTCAAAGTGCCCAATGCGGTGGCAGTCGATAAACCGCGTTCGGAATGTCCGGATGGCTAAAATCTCAGGTAAGGCGACTTGTGTTACTGCTTACTAATTTCACCTTGAAAACTTGGCTGACACGCTAAAAGCCGCTTGCTAGACTAGTTGACACCCCTAGCATACTTGAAAGGGAAAGATAAAAGGTCTGCTTGACAGTCCTTTGGTAGTGAACACTCCTGTTTGCCCTTGTCATCTCCAAGTAAGCTTTGCTCCACTGTAATCCACACCCACGAATCCACAACAGACCTCCCACTGGATGAGATATCCGGTGCCGGAAAGGTCATCCTCACCTCGAGTTTACACCATCAACGTAACTCGTCTTAGGCATCACCCAGCCAGGGAGAGCTATACGATTGAATTGCCAGTGAATGGGTCCAAGTCAGTAAATCCCCACACGAACAGGCCAGCACTGCGCGTGAACTCAATCTGACCACGCGACCTGAGGGCCGCCGAACCCAGCCTGCAACATCAAACAACACCTCCGAACCCGTCTGAGCCAACACGATGACGCACCACCAAGCCGCCACGTGCAGCTCGACACCTCAACACCACGTCCCAAACTCGCAACCACGCGCCCGACCCCCGAGCCCTAAAATACACCATTCCATAAACCCCCCGAAAGCAGCAGTAAGGCCGCCACTTCTCCAAATCGAAGGATGGTAGAAACCCATAACTTTCGATACTGGCAACGCTAACCCGTCCACTCTGCCATCATCTGTAAAATGTGACACGGTACTCCAAGTAGCGCAATCAGACCAACCAGTGAGCCCGATGAAAACCTCTACAAATAAGAAGTCTGGCTGCGGTCGGAATGACGTTTCCACGTAAAATAACTATTTACAATTGCAATCACGCAATCCAACTACCCGTCTCTCGTACATAAAAATGTTTGATTAGCACGTGGTGAGGAGGGATGACTCATATGAGAACTACGTCCAACATAAGGTTCATCGTCCAAACTACTGCTGATCTTTCTCCTTATTGTCGCTACTACTTGAGGAGCGACTGTCGGCCATTTTTTTGTAAGCTATCTCGAAGAGTTTTAAAGATGACTGTTGCAATTCGTCCGTGGCCTTCTTTAGTGCATCAACTGTCAGGTTCTCCTTATTATTGAGGGTTTCACGGAGATCAGCAATCAACTTGGCCAGTTTGTCACGCTCTTCTTGAGGCAAGTGCGCCTTATACTCCTCCATCTTGCTCTCAGTGTCATGAGCGATACCCTCAGCGTGGTTAATAGCTTCGACCAAATCACGACGCTCCTTGTCCGCGGCGGCATACTGCTCCGCGTTGCGGACCATGTTCTCAATCTCATCCTTGCTTAAACCGCCACTAGATTGGATCACAATCTGCTGTTCCTTGCCGGTACCCTTGTCTCTCGCCGACACGTTAACAATTCCGTTTGCGTCGATATCGAAGGTAACTTCGATCTGCGGTATGCCACGAGGTGCCGGTGGAATACCAACGAGGGAGAAACGTCCCAACAACTTGTTATCAGGAGCCATTTCACGCTCACCCTGGAAGACCTTGATTTCCACCTGGGTCTGACCATCGGCGGCGGTTGAGAAGACCTGCGATTTCTTTGTTGGAATAGTCGTGTTGCGGTTGATGAGCTTGGTGAAGACACCACCCAACGTTTCAATACCAAGCGATAGAGGAGTGACGTCAAGGAGCAGCACATCAGTGACATCGCCAGCCAATACACCACCCTAGAGAGTTTAGGGTGATTAACACGAAAAATAAAACCCGTGTAGCAATAAAAAAAACACTTACTTGAATAGCGGCACCCAAGGCGACCGCCTCATCAGGATTCACATTCTTGCTCGGAGTCCTGCCGAAGATTTTGCTAACGGTTTCCTGCACTTTGGGCATACGAGACATACCTCCAACAAGGATTACGTCACCAACATCAGAGGCCTTGACGCCAGCATCCTTCATTGCTTTTTCACAAGGGCCAATTGTCCTCTTGATAAGAGAATCGACTAGAGACTCGAGTTTGGAACGCGAGAGCTTAAGGTTCATGTGCTTAGGACCGCTCTGATCCATAGTGAGGTAGGGCAGATTGATATCAGTTTGAAGGGAAGATGACAACTCGACTTTGGCTTTCTCAGCTGCCTCCCTAACACGTTGCAGAGCCATTGGGTCCTTGGTGATATCGATTCTTTGTTCCTTCTTAAACTCACCAACGAGGTAGTTGAGGAGGACCTGATCAAAATCCTCACCCCCAAGGAAAGTATCACCATTTGTTGATTTCACTTCGAAGACACCTTTCTGGATTTCCAAGAGGGAAATATCGAATGTACCGCCACCCAAATCGTACACGGCAATTCTAAAAAGCAATCATATGAATGTCATTCTCACGTCTTATCCTCAACACGATCCAGACCGTAAGCGAGAGCCGCGGCAGTAGGTTCATTGATGACACGAAGAACATTCAGGCCGGCTATCTGACCAGCATCTTTGGTAGCCTGCCGCTGGGAATCATTGAAATAGGCAGGAACGGTGATAACCGCGTTGCTGACCTTCGAACCCAGATAGTTTTCTGAAAAAAATAACACGATGGAGATTCTTACCAGCAGTCTCCTTCATCTTCATCAACACGAATGCACCGACTTGGCTTGGCGAATAAGCTTTCCCCTGAGCCTCGACCCAAGCATCACCGTTAGACGCCTTGATGATAGAGAAAGAAGCGTTTTTCTTTTCCTTTTGAACCTCCGGATCATCGTAACGACGACCAATCAGGCGTTTGGTGGCGTACAATGTGTTTTTGGAGTTGGTGACAGCCTGACGTTTCGCGGGGGCTCCAACCAATCTCTCACCCTCAGTTGTAAACGCCACAACAGAGGGAGTGGTACGGGCACCCTCAGCGTTCTCCAGGATTTTTGGTGTTTTGCCTTCCATTACGGCAACACACGAGTTGGTGGTTCCAAGGTCAATACCAATAACTTGGCCCTTCGGAGCCGATGCAAAACCTCCCGAGACATTTTTCAAGATCGAAAACTAAAATAACGTAAAGATAAAAAACTAACGACTCACAACGCTCTTCTGATTGATGACAGCGAAATAGCGGAACATCCAGAGATGCAGAATGGCGCACGCCAAAAGACGAGGCTTCTAGATGTGAAATTCGTTCCCTTCGCTTATTCAAACAAAGGAGTTTCTAATAGTTGGCTAAGGTCTATAGGCTGCTGTCACTTTTAGAAGTTTTAAAATCACTTCATAAATTATTTGATTTATAATTTAAATAACCTTACAACAATTTTAGATTTATTTGTGAAATTATTTTGAATGCCGGAAACATTGACTTTTATGTCGTTTTTTATTCGTTACGTACCTACTTAAACTATTTGCATATTAATCATAGCAGTGCTCTTGATCATTATTTTTTAGTAATTATTTTGCTTCCTAGCAGTCCGTTGTGTTTGTTGCAAGGATTAAAATATCTGTCACCTAAATATTGTGATTTCGAACTATCCCAGACATTTTTCAGTATAGAGTAATATTATTTTTAATGTTTTTAATGTTTACCTTGATCAGCTGATACCATCAGTGCTTGCACCCCTATTTCAAACCCAAATTATCTAAAAAGGAAGCTGTTTCCCCCTATTGGATTTAATTAGAAGACAACCTATTTTGGTTCTGTTCTTCATAACCAAAATCAAATGCGAAAAATATCATTCTCCATAAACTTTTAGAATGGATCCAGTAGCTTTTCGTCTAACCTATTTAAGAGTAAATAATTACTACTTGGGTTTTGTAGTTTTGCACAGGTTTTAAACAACATAGGTATGGGAGCTTTGAGTTTTATCCCGCAGGGCCAAATGCACTCTATTTTGTTTTATTTTTGTGTAATCCCGAATCCATTTCAAGAAAGGCTCGTCTTTCTAGCTTTACTATTATTATTTATTACGAACACTTGTTCTTTAATCATCAAAATGCGCAGTAGAGTACAATAGATTGTTTATTAGTCCGTACTTTTCCTGAATTTAGACATTAAAGTTGATCAATCTATTCAAACGTCATCGAGTTGATCCAGAATCAGACGAATATTATCGTCAAGCCGTGTGGGATGTAGTTGCTGAGGTGCTCAAAGAGGAACGCGAGTATAAGAGGGCTATGAACAGGAATAAGAAGGTGCCCTTTCCGTGCGCCTGCGGGGCCACCTGTTCCTTCGCGGAGTACCTTCAACCCATTATATCCGCGTTTGACAAGCTATACATGGAGTACATAGCCGTCCATCGCGACTACACCAACCTCTTTCACGCCACGTGGGTAAGACCGGTGTGCAAGGCGGCTTTGAAGGTGGAGGAGGACGTGAAAGGAAATGAGTCTGACAAGGTTTTATTCTCTCTACATGAGCCCCCTCCAACAATAAGTGGGTTGCCACCTCTCCTTGATCCAGATCGTATCAAGGTTACACCTATAGTATGCCCCTCTGTGGACGAGAACACGACGTCATTGGAATCCTATAGAAGGGAAGATAAAGAAGAGGCGAAAATGAGGCTGGAAATTATCAGAAAGCGACTTGTTCAACATCTGGAGGGGCAGTCAATGTGGGTGAAACTGTGGCCGTTCACATATGCCTATAAAGTTTGCTTGTGCCTCTATTGTGATTATCGGGACTGTGTGACGGATTACCGAAACGCGATTGAGAAGCTGAAAGCTGAATATGATGTTCTCTATCGACTGTATGAGATCCTCTTTGGGGCTGTGGATATGCTACCTCCAGAGGGGAATAAAAAGATTATCATGCTATCGAGGGAACAGCAGAAAGAAGAGGAGGAGGAGGCAATACGGTGTAGGCAAGCGTTTGTTGGCGCCGAAAAACGGATCAACCATGTTACGGAGATATAAAGGTGTGATTTGGTACCAGTTTTTTAGTTTTTAAACTTGTAGTTACATCTGTTTGTGGAAGTCTGGATTTTTCCGCTTGCACATCCTTCATTGCGCATCCATTAATTCAGTCGACAAGATTAAATCGCGGAAACTTATGGCTCACCACAACATTGCATCAAGGGCCTATTTATAGAGAAGCGTCCCCCTCTCCTTATAGATAACACGTACCTGCGGTGTATTCAATCTTTCCTAGGGTACGACAAAAACCTTCGTTTTAAACTCGGCCTAAAGCCGGAGAGGGTATACTCTAACTCAGTAATGTAGGACGTCCCAAGTGGAGTAACGTTGGGATATGGCTGGGACAAAGGGGATGACTCATAGTTTTTAGGGGTGTGCTGAAGCGCCCGTTTTCAGCCAATTTTTTCACCGAATTGAAGAGCAAACCTCTTATTGGAAGGTGGCATAAGGTCAAATTATAATTATTTGTGCCCTTTAAATTCTCCTCCTAATGCATCGACAGCCGCGTTTTTTGTCGCAAAAAACCTTCCGAGGAATCAATACCAACGTCTCACTGGCAATGAAAGTGGAGGTGGTGCTTGTGCGCACCTTCAGTCTGTGTGATCGTCTTGGTCGCCAATCCCGTGAGAAAACTCACATTTGTGTGATTACTTTTAGATGGCTCAAATCACCCCGAAAAGAGAAGTAACTAAAAGCGAGTTGTAATTTATTTGAGATATGCCGATAACGCTTTTAAGATCTACAAGTCAATTCGCCTTTTCGGACTGGGAACGTGCATGGGCTTTCCAAAGTGACATCTTCCTAACAGACTTTTATAACCATTTCCTTGGTATTTGTTGGCTAAGGGCTGGAGAGTAAGAAATGTTTCCAGTAGTTTCTAATTGTAGTATCAACCAAAATTTTCTGGTAATCCTGCAACACTTACTGGTGGGGTGGCCTGCCGACTGGGGAAGTGTTCCTTTTTGATCCTCTAGAAGCGCCTTCTGATGGCCAATCGCTAAACCTAGAGATCCGTGCTCTCGGCTGCTCTCTCCTGATTGGTTCATGCCAAGCAGAGAGGCACTCGAGGTGAACCAATAACAATTTGAAGGTAAAGGTCAGTTGTTGCTAAAATTACCCGCAACGGGGGTTCGCCGATACGTAAATTTAGACTATTTTCGGCATTCCCCACTACCCACCTTTCAGGCGTGTGCACTCCCTATGCTCCCTCAGGCTTACTCACGTTGGTCGAAAAAGCCACACCTATCTACTGCGTATCTGGTTGGAAGCCTGGTGAGATCCAGGCAAAAATTGCGGAAGCGGATCAATCGGCACGGTCTAGGAGCAATACTGTTTTAATCTAGTATCGATAAGGAACTGGAAGTGTGGTTGTTCTCGGGTCTGGAGCTTCACCCCGCATCCATTTTTGCTTGTCTTAAACCCAACTGACTAACTTACAACACTATTTGTTGCAACTAAACCGAGGGAAAACGTCACTTCTTCGTAACACCGGGACAAGATAACAAAATCTTTGCTAACAACGAAAGTGTTAATGCAGGCATTTCAGTTTGCAATCGGATTCTCATTAAAAGTAGCTTAAGGTATGCTGTAGTATATCTTGCCCTTTCAGCCTCCAGGCCTAATGCATATAACCTGCTGGTCGGTATTAAACAGTGCCGCTCTCCGAACTCAGTACTGATGATGGTGATTACTATCACACTTTTCATATTCTTGGTTTCACACATGCAAGCGCCAATGGTGGTAAGGAGGGAATGACTGCGGTTAGCAAATCAGCCAATCCCTTCTTTCAGGCTCATACCGCATTTTAAAGCCTTAGATGCATTCAACCGACAACAACATGGTTTAGTTCACCGACCTCAGGTGATAAAAATGCAGTTCTTGTTTGCCAGGTCCGCAGAAGTTGACAATTGCTCCAGTTGGGGGGACCAGCCGAAGTGGGCGGTGTAGGTCCACCCCGCAGTTTACGCACCTATTTAACCCGAGGTGACTCATCAGGTGTGACCTGAGTAGTGACGAGTCCCGCCTTGGAGCAAATTGCCGTCACGTTTCTGTCTGTGCCGCATTGTGGGCTAGCCGGCAGAGGCCTCACGGTGTAAAAGCGAAGCATTTAATCACTTCTAGTGCTGATGCCTGCCCCAGTTGGGGTTTTCGATCAAATAGCAAACGATGTTTGGGATGTAAGGTACTGCTTGGGTTACTTGTTCAACTCTCCCTTTTTGATTTTGTGGGTATTTAAGGCTCCACCTTTGCAGTTCCATTGAGCGTCACGGCCTCCAGGCCATGTCAGTGGCTCCCCAGCCCTTCCGTACATTGGTAATACATAATCTGCCCGGGTGTTGTCTCCTTTTGTCTTCAAGAAAGACTCTCGACTCAACAGTAAACACAATATTTTTTGGAGACAGTTGTCAAGTTTGCAAGTTATGACCTCGGAACCTGATTTATTTTCCTTCAAGCTGAGGAGCGAGTAAAAGCTAAATGACACGGCAATTGCATCATTGAAAGTAGAGAATATGGCCTCCATGATTGCTAGCACGATTTGACCTCGTGGATTCTTTTCTCAAAATGGAAATTGTTCCAACAAATGCTTTTAATCACAAATGTTTTTCATGGGGTATGTCTCATGACTACCAGTGATTATAGTTTCCAAAATAACAATCCGGGTTCTGCTAAAATTACTTATTTATTTACGAAAGTTGAAGCAAACTGAACTTTATCATTCAACTCATAGGTATATGTATCCTTTCGAGGTTATAAGTTAGGTATGAAGAAACCTTTTGGTTAATGCCCTCAATGCCATGAAAATTCTCACAATTTTCTCTGAGACCTCAACGAGTTACTAGATTAAGGTGGTCCCATGACAAAAAAAAGTGAAAAACCATGGGTGAATCTGATTATCTCACTCGTGGTTATACGTAACACACGAAAGAACGAGCGTGAAAGTTTCTGTATAAAACGGTTATTTAAAAAAATTGACGAGGCGGTAGGTATTCTTTTTTACACAAAATAAAACAGAGGGAATTCGCTAGGAAAATACATAAACTGACCCACTGTTTGTAGCTTTGACAGTGAAGAAGGGATAAAATCCCTATTGTGTTTACCTTCCTTTTGGGAAACTCTTGTTGATTTCCCTCAAAAAAATCGTTGTTTTCAATTTCATAGTGGCTAATTTGCATTGCATCACTTTCTAAAACACAGGTTTACCCAACCCGACTTAATGAGATGTTAATAACAGGGAGATGCTACCAGCTTGTGGGTGCAGTTGATTCTCAAGGTCCCGAATGATGGTTAAACTTTAGTGGTGGTGTAGTCTTATCATAAGTAAAGTGGATGTAAAAGGATTTTACAGAAGGGAATCAAAAAAGATGGTCTCAAGTAGCAAAATAATAAAAAAACTCCGCTTTTGTACTTTCAGAGGGTGGTATGGTCCCTGGACCATGCCCGTAGTGTCCTCGGCCCTTCCCTACTTCGGCAATACATCTTCCCCCTAGCATTTTCTTCTTTATTTAAGCTTCGTTTTTTACAAAGGTCATGGTATCAGCGACCATGGGGTATAGCAGGTGCAATAGGCTTGATGTTCCTCTTCTCTACCTCAGACGAGTTGGACCAGGACATGCTTTGATGGGTAGTAACGAGTAGAAAGGTATAGATTGTACCACGTCGAGATGTCCTTGAAGATCATAGAAGGCAAAATGGTCGTGTAAAATATGTATTGTTGACCCACAGAAGGGCTGGAGGCCACTAGTATGATCTGAAGATCAAACCGCCCGGTAAGAGTATAATGATGGACCCCTAAATGGTTTGCCACCAAAATCGAGAGTTAAGCATCTAAGGTATTACACAGTCATCTCGCTTAAGCCTGTTCACTGTAAGTTCTCCCTCGGGAGCCGATAGCATTTGATCCGCCAAGACGCTCGTGCTTACTGACCACTTCTCCCCAATTAGATACAAACAATCGTATTACAATGGCAGTCCCACAAAGACCACCTTAAAACAGTAGGAGTGGATTCAGTTCAGGGTGCGTTTGCGAACGCTTCTTCTTTGTACAGACAAGTTATGCCTCCTTCATATGTCCATCAGCAAAATGCTAGCCTAGTGATTACGAAGTGTTGATAAATGACTTTTCCAATGCAAGACTTTTGCATGCTTGTTTATCAAGTGGCTAAGGAATTTGCAAATCCACTTTTGCGCCAAAGCATCTCATACTCAAACGGCGAGTTTATTGCAGATGCATACATAATTAAGAGAGAAGGTTGCTTGAGCGCTACATTGACACTTTTGTTAATAATGTCACCTATGTGGCACCTCGATTTTCTTCGCTCCCCTCGGTCTCGCATATGTGTGGCGAATCCATAGTTATGTCCTAGTACTTGGTTGTACAAAGTCGTGTTATAGGCAGATCCGTTTAATTTTAAAAAAGTAAACTAGATATAACAGTTTCCTGGTCTGTAGATAATTGCATTTCTAAGTTATTGAACACCAGCTAAAATGGTCGACAAGGCCATGCCAACTGATTCCATTCCGGAATAGGTAAGCGGCTTTCCGCTAGGATTGCCTTTGCAAACGTCCTAAAAGGAAATCCACTTAACATTTTCCTCATTACTGTAAGTGAGTAAAATATCCCCATTTAATGACAGAATTTAGCTTTCTTTTCTAACGAAACGTGCAAAAATAAGAAATTAAACACAGTGTTCATTAACAGTTGAGCCACGGAAAAGGGCTCGAGATGTTTCCCTCTCTACAAACCAATGCCTTATAGAATATTGCTTAATCAAATCGAAAAATCACAACCTCAGCTACTTGCTCGTGCGACACGAATGACGGTAAAGCATTCAACAGCCTGAGCACAACCACTCATGGATGCATGTCGTCTTGCTTAATTGTAGAGAATCCAAGTAAGGTCTTGCATTTTTTGCATTAGATGTTAAATAACCAAGCAAAACAACTGTGATGTGAATAGCTCTTCTCTGACAGGCTTTGTCCCCAAAAGCTTAGGAAGGTTTCAGTCCTCCCTTATCCATTTATACCTCACTCGTACTTCCTAACTATCCAATCCTTTTGATGTGTGACCATCTAGTGTAGAGAGGGCTACCAAGACGGGATGAAAAAAATGAACAATAAGAATACGGAGGATGAGCATGAGGAAGAGATTGAGAACGGGAAGATATCGGTGTCACCTAGTTCCCTCACTCACTTCGCCTTCCCCACCCAAGCTGATGTGCACATCTTCCCACGGGCCAGTTTTGTAGTTTGCTTTGTCCGTTGGTGTCCTCCTTGCAACTAACAGAGTTGACTGATTTTGGCCGTACTCAAGAAGAGGAGGCTCTTCTTCAATACCTAGTTTTTTTCGCTCCAGGTGGATGGACCTCACCTACAATAGTTTAATCTTTCACGACTGATTAATATTGTCCCTTGTCGTCTGCAGACACAAACACGCACACAAACGCATGGCTGGCCATCTGTGAATGAAGTGGTGCGTAGCTTAGAATTTTTGAGGTGGGTAGTGAGTAGGTTGTTTGGAGAAAGCCGGTGTGATGTTCTTTGACTTAGCGAATGTTGTAATAGGAAATCACAAAACCCAATTCTGGTCACAAGTTAGTTTGTCAATCAACCAGCTAACCGCTAAATTAATCGTCTAGTTCGTCAGTTGGTAAATGATCTAGAATGCGTGATGTATTTTTGGGGGTCCAAAAAGAGAAGTGAAGGACAGGTTAGCAGCGCTTCGATACTTTGAGCTTACGATCATATTCAAACGCATAGCATGGGGGTGAGGCCCATTTTCTAAGTGGCCCCTACCACCCCTGCCGAGGTGATGCAGGTGTAAACATGGTTTTGATAACACGCCAACCGCCAATCATTGGAATCAGTGGCGCCACAGACACCTCTCTCTATTCCCATCAACTATGGCGGCTATTTGTCAACATGATGCACCCGCTTTCGCGTGCTTCGTCACGATAATCAAATGTTTCAACCACCCCTGGGCAGTAAATTCCTTTACCACCTACTATGCTACACATGAAGTCGTGCAAGAAGCTGGCCTGGGTATTATTGAGACGGACAAAGTGGGTTCGCAAAGCAGACAAACCCCAATCACATGCATCATATGGATGTGGTGGATGGGTGGAAAAAGTAGAGATTATGCGATAGAACAACGGCATGTCTATGTATACGAGTTTGACACGTCTACGCAGGTTACAACAAGTCATGACTTCGAGGTCTGAGAAACATCACCCAAACTTTCTTGGCCACCTGAGAGAAGACGTGATTTATCAACATTTCTCCATCTAATGGTTGTACTGTTTTAAAGTTATTCGATTAGAAGTATGAAGTTTGGGTGTACCGAGTGCACCCACTTAAAGCATTTTTTGAGAGTCTGCTTGTCATTGGTGTCGTCTGACTGCCTCAGTGGGTGCACATCGCGCCCACGCACTAGTCTGTAGCACCTGCCAATTTTAGCACCAAGTAATTCTCTGCATCGCTCCAAAACCATTAGACACCATCCTACAGTCAAATACAATCAAAAGTTTTTGTTCCTCAGAATGCGTAAGCCCTTGTTGCTAGAGGCGGTAGTTCTGACGGCTGAAGGGGCTACGATTGAGGGGTGATTGCCAAACTAAGCAGCATGCGTTGATTCCATCAACAATGGTTAGGTTGTCTAACCCGCTCATTACAGCACCACATACTCGTGTAACCCTAATTTTATCCAAGTCCAAAATCACACAGCGAGGCGTCATCCGCTAGCTTGGTGTAAATGTCCGCACGAATTGTCGCGAACAGATCGGTTGAGTTCAGCAGCACCGAGATAAACAGATACTGAGCAGTGCATGCAACTTCCTGATGAAAAAATAAAACACGAGGCACGGTAGCAAATGTTCTGTTCCCATTACTGACTGCATAAATGCCTAAGAAGGTAAAATCCTAAAATTTCACGGCTAGAGGATTCAGAGTGCCAGTCTCATCCGGACGCAAAACATCCAACACGGAATGCAAGATCAGAAAACCGATACCCTCCAGGGGACAACTAGTCTTGAGAAAGGCATACGCAAGACTTCACATTTGAGTCGGGTTTCTTTTCTTTCAATATAAGACAAAGCAAGCTCAGATTGAAATAAATGAAAGTAGAGACCGTGCTAACACACAAAAGTGTAGTCGCCAAAATTGTAGTGGCATCGCTCAAAAATCCAAGGTGGAAGGGAAAAAACGGGTGCATGGGTGATATGGGGCACAGATGATGATGATGGAAAAAGGGGAGAGACGGAGAAGGTCGGTGGGACAAGCAGTAATATTACACAAGTACAAAGCGCGAAAAAAGAGCGCTGAATATACACTATTGCTTTGTTCAAGAATGGTTAATAAACCTGGAAGGAGATACAATACATACGCATAAAACCAGCAGTAATCGTGGTAAAGGAATGGGTTTTCATGATCTGTTTACAAGTCAGCTCGAACAATCAACACGATGAAGGGGACAGGGAGGATGGTAGACCCTTAACTGTACAAGAGAGGGGGGGGGGGGGAAAGGCGAACACCGTTAGCGAATGAATGCTTGAGAGAAACATGTATTGCACATACGTTGATGAAATAGATCGTGCACACGCGTTATGCGTACACACGGACGATCGCAGACGATAAATAGAGCATCGGCATCATTAGAAAATAGAGAACAACATGAGCGGAGGTGAGTATAGATGAGTGAATGAATGCCTCCTTTGGCACCCGGCCTACTTCTTCGGGTTAATAGGAATCGCCACATGTGTGGGAGGTCCGGCAGCCATGGGACTCTCCTGCTTAATTTGTCGCAAGGGGACTGCCGTCGTCGTAGTGACCGTCGTTGCTCCTGTTCCAGAGGATTGTACCCCTCTATCGTGGCCAATGAGCGTGGAAGCGGAAGGTAGGACGAGCCCCGGATTTGGCGAATCTGCAGCTGGTTCAGTTCGGAAGAGAGTTGGGCCGGAGGCGCTGGAGGGGGTCGGGAAGAGAGCAGGGGGGAGAGAAAGTGAGTCCAAAGAAACCGGTAGCCCCGAGATCAAACAGGCAGTAGCAGCATTGGCTGTGGCGGTACTTTGATCATCCCTCCCACCTCCACAAGCTCCTGTGTCCAGAGGAGTGTTGATAAGGATGGCGCTCTGTGCGCCAGGAAGCAGCTGCATTGAATGCGTGAGCAGCTGGGGAACAGCAGTAGTAGAGTTTGTGTCCGAGGGAGCGGAGGTTGTGACGAGAATGCCACCAGAAACTGGAACTTGAGTGGGCAGATCGCCACCAGCCAGAGTGAGACTACTAGTCACTACGGTGTCGGGAGTCAGACTAGGCGGAGCCGGAGAGTCCGAGAAATCAACGCCGGTTGCGGCGCCTGATGAGAGTAGAGGATTATCCTGCAGACTGTCAGAAGGAAGGACTTGGGAGGCCAACAGTGGATCGTTGGAAGAAGCAGAGGAGACGGATACTGCGTGCAGATTGGGAGGTTGAGAGTTGGAAGTGGCCTGAGAGGGCTGCGTGGGCGAAGTGTCATCGACACTGTGTGATGGCGAGGGAGAATCATTTTGTCGAACCTCATTATCATCCTGCCACTTATCCACAGATCGTCTGCGAGCATTCATGAAGAAGTTGGCCACAGTAGAGACCTCGAGGTCTAACTGCTGGGCTATAGTTACCTGCATCTCTTTACTGGGTCTTTTTGTCTCCTTGAAGATGGCATGAAGTGTTCGCCGTTGAATATCCGTGAAGACGAGACGAGGTCTTTTGGCCGACTTTTCTTCACCCGGCTTTACTTCACTGGACTTGCGCTTTGGAGGATAAATTTCCGTTTCGGTAGCTAGAGGAGGCTTAGCAGATAAATGTGGTCACTTACTTGCCGCTTTGAGTTCGGCCATGCGTTGAGGCTGTGGTTCGTGTAACCACTTCCACATTCGCTTAAAGGTCTCGCGGCCGGATTTCAGCTTACTCCAGGGCTTGGGATTCCTCAAAAGGTCGGAGAGGGTACCCTGACTTCTGTGAAGTATCTTTTGAGCAAATACCGCCTGAGGAATACTGTACCGTTTCAATTCACTGCTGATCTGTAGTGCCAGTTCCTATCAAGGAAGTGAGAAATAGTGACCGACTAAACCAAAATTACCCTTGTGTTTATTTCTGTACAATCGATTCCGGGACTCATGGTCTCACGATCTGCGTCACTCAGATTATCGGCATTGTTACTAGGTGGACTAGGGTCATCTGCAAAACGACAAAATGGGTAATACCAAGACACAATTGATGGTTTGACTTAAACAGGAAACGAAATAAGGGGAATACCTGGACTTATGGGTCGAGCGATTTTAAGTTCCGTTGTAGCATAGTCCACTAGAGAAACAGAGGATTCAGCAGGTAGATTGAGAGTGATGGGTACAGTGGGAGTTTGGAAGAAGTCAGCTGTGTTGGTCTGGAAAACACTGGAACTGGGAGCTGTCTTATCCAGCAATTTCGTTTTATCACCATTGCTTGTAAGGAGGGGGACAAGATCTTGAAGGGCGTAGTTTTGAGTAGCGTCGACCATCGACGGGGCACTGGTTGGGACTTTTTGTGCGTACAGCTTGTCGGACACCGAGGTGATGGGAGGTAGAGAGGTGATCGTAGCATAGTTCACCTTATCGGAAATCCCAGAAGGTTCGGGTTCAAGTACAGGCGGTTGTGATTGGGGGATGCTAGCAACTGGTACAGTAGACAGTCCAGCTAGGTTAAGATCATTTCCACCCAAAAGATTTTCGGGAATTGTGATGGTAAGACCGTCTGCTGACTGGTCCCAACCACTCAGTGGTCCAGAAGGGGTCGTCAACAAAATTGTCTGTTGGTCACCACAGTTGATAAGAGTGAGTTTCACCATTTGAACGCCGGGTATGGATTGGCTGTTGGCAGCCAAGGATTGTAAATCCACGGTACGTCCATCAATGGGGTTCAAGATAGGAATATTTTCCAAATCACTCACTTGAACGTTCAGCTTTTCACTTGAATTTAGGGCACTAATAGGTAGAGAAGCCATTGCAACAGGTCCACAAGTCGAGGTCTGCAATCCAGCCAGTTGAGCCTCAAGTCCAGGTTCCATTTTCAAACCTTCCGCGGTAATTTTGACGTTCATTGGAGTAGAAATTAACGTTGGAGTTGTCCGCGAGTCAGTGACAAAAATAGACTCCAGTGAAGCTTCTTTGTGTGGCGCAACAGGCATGGAAGTGCGTCCGTTGGGGATCAGTTCATTGTGGTTATTTAACAGGTGACGATTATCCATATTAGCCAATACAGTGGTTATTGATTCGCTGTACAGACCAACCGATCAATAATTCATCGATAAAGTAACATCCATAGAACTCACACAGCAAAACGCTTCATCGATTTAACTGGTCAATAACGCTGACTAGCCTCTACAATGGCCGTTCACCAGTCGTTCTAAACAAAAAATATAAACATTATAAAATTTTCTTTATTTTAAACCAATCGTGAATTCCTTTGAGTTGAGACATTTAATGATTGGCTATTTAGCGAAAAAAGTATTAAGCAATGGATAAGACTATCTGTTTTGACCTGGTTAATGTGCTACTTTACGCTATTATAAGTAGCTTGTACTTTACAAATGTTTTTATGCAACATTCCTTTTGGCTTGCGGCGTGCCTCAGAAATGCACCCGTTTCGAGACTGCGTTGGGACCGGCATTCGCCGACTTAACAGCTGCTGGTCCGTCTGCGTTCTTGACGCGCTCAAATTTTGCTTTTAAATAGTTTCGAGTTGTTGTTGGCACAGTAAGATTCGCATGTCTAGAAAGTCGATGAATTTGTGTATGGTCCCATCAGTTAGTTGCTTTTTACTACACCACCCTTCGATTTCGAGGAATCCTCTTGGCATAGTAGTTAGTGGGAGGTATTGAATGCAAAATAGGTCGATGAGTTTCCGCTACATGGAGAAAGCGCCTTACTTGGAGTCCTGTAGCGTCAGAGCGGCTTCCATGATCGGCCTCTTAAATTTGGATTTTGGCATAAGGCATCACCGCATCTATTACTTAAAGCATGAAATAGCCAGGAGTGGATATTTTTTAGTTTGATTGCTGTATTAATTCAAATAAACGAGTTCTTCCAAGAACATAGACTTCTTCTAATATGCTGGAATAAGGCAGAGGTTGCTTTGACTCGACGAAAGCATCAGGCCTACTCCTAGAGACCACGCCCCAAACAAAGTATCGGCCGGACAAAATCGTGTCATTAGCTATGGCTAAGTGAAATAGCTGTTGCAAATTCGCCGATTTCGGTAAGAAATCATGGTGGTGAAAATTACCAGACCTTGGCCCCAGTTTAGGGGGCTACTTTGGTTCATCTACAGTGAAAATTGCTAACCATTTGATAGAATCCCGGTTTGGCAGAATAATTACATTTACTTAGGGAGATTACCGCGTTCTCTTTAATTTATGCAATAGGTACAAGGAATAGTTCACTGAAACTGTTTTATGCTCGGATAATATTCCGCCCCTGTTTTGGCGAGTGAACTTCAACCACGGGATGACAGTTTACTTTGACAAGTCAGGTTAGTTCACCGCGTGCGCTCTACCAAGTGCGACCAGCAACAAAGCACTTTTGTTTGCCTCATCCGATGCTCATCAAGCTTTCGCCTTCCCACGGAGCAGGACCGATGATTCGCCAAGCAAGGTTCTAATTAATAGTGACCTCGACAAAATGGGGGGTCATACTGACTACTTCACTGTCAGCTAGTAAAAAGTAAATGGGCGCAGCTAGGTATGCGATGTACACACAGTTCACGGAGGCTCACTGACACGCTAAGGCGTTGATTCTTCCCAAAAATAATGGAAGGGTGTAACTTGATTCCAATTAGTCTAGCACTAGTTTTAAATCTCTTTTGCCTGATTAAAATGTAATTAAAAATCGACTCCCTCAACGAGAAAAAAAAGAGCGCTAAATGAACGCAAAATGAGAATCCAATTTGCGAGCAAGAATCCTGCCAAGGGTTTGTGAAGCGCACACACTCAAAACTCCTCTGACTTGTAGGGTCTCATTCTTCATGCCACCTAGCACAAAGACACGATGCGCCGCTCCCGTTCTTGGCAACCCTCTTCTACAGCGCATGGTGTCATTGAACGACGTGAGTCGCCAGCGCCTCCCCTTGATTCAACAAGTTTGGGTAAGGTCTAAATAAGCTCCAAGCGATTGCTCTTAATTGACACCTTCTTCTGCACTAATTAAGACAAATTGAGGGTCGAAAAACGTACAAGAGTGATTGACGGTATCGCTGGTACGGTGTCATTGAGGGTCAGTTTTCCCAATGACGCTAACCTTCACTGCTGCATCTTGACTAACGGAGGTCTGAATGAGAATGACATAAAACGGGTTGCAGAGATCACCATTACACCGCATGCAGATGCCAAGCCAGCAAGAAAAACATGGGTGAAGCTCGGTTTTCCTTATTTTGGTTAAGGTAACAAATACTCTGATTTAAAAAATAGCAAAATGCATGGCCCCCCAGCACTTCAATGATTCTACTTTTGATTTGTTGAGGATAGCATGTCGCCATGGTGGAGCTTTGAGAGTCGCAAATGATTTACACTCTCGAGGGCTTAAAGCTACCAAATCTTGGATCACAAACACAACCGCAGGTAATTCAATAGTCATTAGTATTTGACGGATGATGAGCAGCTGCAACCACACCTGAGTACAAATATTTTATTAACAATACAAGCCGTCAGTAAATAGCCATCTACCATTTTTGAGCAAAAAGTGGATCTACACAAGAGCATTTGCCAAAAGGTACGAGTTACAGTTTAAAAAAAAAGAGAATATGATGTGCGGTCATGTAAAAAAGCGATGAGAAGCCAAATGAGAGGTGAGAAATTGTTTTTGCCTGATATCCATGTGAAAAACTGGAAGTCAACGTGAGGATTTCCGTTCTTCTTCGAACTCTCGATCCAGTTCAGCATTCCTGGTAGACTGAATCCGCAACAGATCATCCTAACAAGAGGATGAAGCAAGCGGATAAACAACGGAAGGGCGGAGAGGATAGAAAGGGTTAACAAGTTCGCTACCAAGGGGATCGATCACTACGAGTCAGATACCTCATTATCCTAACGTGATATGACCGTTCAATGACAGACAAATGCATATAGCATCAGGCCAAGCTAGGCTGTGGAAAGAAATACATAGAAGTAGCAACAGTGTTGAAGAGGCCCTACCTTCCACTCGAGTAAGTCGGCAAATCGAAGACATATGCCATCGGCGTCACCCTTAACGAAAACGTCCGTTTTGTTGCCCGGCTGGCCCCACTGAAGTGGTTTGGCACGAAATCCAGCGACCAGCCATTTCATGATGAAAGAAACAAAACCCTTGTAGCATCGTCAGCGGCAACAACCAGTGCGGTGAAAAAATGAAAAATTAAGTGCCGCTTTTTCAACCAGGCAAAAAAGGCGAACGTACGCAATCGAAAATTGCCAAGTTACGGAGAAAGATGCAGAGTACTGGAAAGCACCAAAGTCTAACTCACCGAAGTTGAACCGTCCGTGTATTCACGGTTGATGTAGAGACGTGGAACTCCGCGTTTAGTGCAGTTGACGATGCCAGAAAATGGAAGTACTTGCAGTGAGGTTCCCATTATTATCAGAAGATCGCATTTCGGGAAGTCCTGGAGGGAGGGCAAAAAAACCTTTGACCAACCTCTACTTCCTAAAAAATTAGGCCGTTTCTAAGTTTATTAAAGCAAACAGAGGGTTACTATAAATTAAACAAAATGTAAGCATGGTGGGGAACATTCAGGCAACAGCTAATACAAATATTAGTGACCGAAACTTTTGTTTGTTCAAAACGCTATAGACCGGAAAGATTTGCACAAGCAGGATATACTACTTAAATAGCCAGTGTAAGCAGTATGGTTGTCGAGCCATTGACTCTACAAACAGCTTACCCGTTTGACTCCACGTGTAAATTTCGATGGAAGTCCCTCACCAAAGAACACAACATCTACGAAGGACAAGTAAAGGAAACCAAATAGAGAGCCTACCGGGTTTCACTACCCCGTCACAATTCGCCTCAGTGCATTTGGGCACTTCCTTGGCCAGAATTTTGCCTATAAATTTAGCGGATGAACTGCTCCGATAACGACTACTATGGTACCTTTGAAGAACTCGAATGGATACTCCTTATGGCACTCGAGACAGTGGCCGGTATGGAAGGATCCATGCGCTTCCACCATTTTATCCTCCGGAAGACCTGATATACGCTCTAGCTGATCCACATTCTGGAATTTAAGTGGAGCAGGAAGAGTATACAAGTAAAGATGACACATTTCAGGCACAAAGAGCTGAAGGAAGGTTGCCTTTAGCTTTTACTACACTACCCGATCAGAAGTAAGAAGTTACGGATAGTACGACATGTAGAATGAATTGAAGTTGGGCAATGAAGTGCGTGTATTCGCTTCTAGCGAAGCTAAGCCTAAAAACCAAGATATTCAAAGTTATAAGTACGTTACCGTCATTATATCAACCATAAATGCGCCAGTCGTTTTAACCAAGGTGATTCCAAAAATCGAGCCAAAAAGATGTGCAACATCCTAGAAGACACGCCTGGTATTCGAGGACAGCACTCATGGACATTTTAAATGTATCGATCCACAGGTCAACCATGAAACAATTTGAAGCATGCCTTAGTGTCACTTGATCTCAGTCAATGTAAAGCTGAGAGCAGCCTTAGCTGTGAAATTTGCAGGGGATAAAATGTAGAAATCGTACCAAATCTGTCGGACAGACGCACCTGGGTATAGTGTCGTAAAAGTAAGCCCTTGTCACACAGGAGTTTGATAAAGTAGTGGGCCGTAGTGGGCTAAGGAGGGTCAGACAGAAAGCGAGACATCAAACCTTGGCATAGGGGCGGTAGAGACGCCGAGCAACTTCAAAGAAGGGTTTTGGATTTTTCTGTACGTTTAAAGGCATGACAACAACTAGCATTACCTCAAAGTAGCTAAGTTCGAAAACTGACATAGGGCTAGGTAAATGGTATTCTTCTAAGTTGTCGTAAATCCCTGTAGATGGACTTCGGAAATCGGGGATCCCAGCAGCTTAAAAAAGAAAAATAGGAAGACAGAGCTCATGGAAGCAGGTCAGCTCTACCGGTATTTTCACATAAATAATCTCAGTCACTTCTCAAATGCATTGCAAAACACATTACAATATTTTTAACACTATTTGCACTTGAGTGTAGACCGTGGAATTTACCAGGGGAAAGCTTGATATATTATGAGGAAATGATGCTTGATAGTTTGCAAACCCGTGTGTTCGGTCTCGTGGGCACTGGCTTTCTACACCACTTAACCGAGGCCCACGATCAACGTGAAACTTTCAGAAAAAAGTTAACATCACCAGATTATTAAGCACTGGCATATAAACTTAATTCTCAAAAACGCTTTAGAAAACAGCAACAATAGTTTTCGATAATGTTTTAATACAAAAGCATTGATTTTACTTACAGGTAGAGATTCCAGCACCTACAGCAGTGATGATATTCCTGACCTTGCCACTTTTGATCAATTTAGCGACACCTAGTTAATATTGACCAAATCGGCAACGACAAAACCTTCCAGGTCCAAGGACTCTAATAGACCATCGGAAAAGGAGAGGTGCAATGCTTGCCTCAGGGATTCCATGCTGAAGGCCATTTTTACTACTGCCTAAGTTATGAAGGCAGCGAAAACTATTAGAGAAGTGTAATGATAGGCAATGATGCCAGTAAAAAGAACACATTCTTTGGAAATGAGGAAGTTTAGTTTGCACTTAAGACGATAGAGAATGTCCATATTGGAAAGAGCATCACAGAAAGAGACGTCGCCACCGGCGAAACTAGGTGCTCTAGTCTACAAGGGACAGACTTACACGCCACGTGAAAACAGCACCTCACCAGCGTGACAGATCAGCACAGAGCCTCAAGTGTCTACTCAATCCGACTGCCGAAACGGAAAAGCTACGCTCATTCCCATAGCATTCAGCTTAGCATCAATATCATTAACACCAACACAATTACGCTTTCTGACTCAACGAAATTAATCGCCTTGTTACACTAGGTGCACCAGTACAAGCATATTAAACTCCCTACATTTCGCGCAGTCTTTTATTACAAAGTGACCTAATTCAATTAATCCCAGTTAATAAGTAAAAAGTCTACAATGGGCAATAGCAGGGGACTTGAATTTGAGCTAATAGATAAAAACACCCACATCGAACGACGTCTCTACATGAATCAAAAATATGGACTGATTTTAAGTGGAGATGAACAAGTACTTTCATAATTTAAGAGTGCTGCTACGAAATACCCTTTTCCAACACATCATGACCAACTGAACGCACTATTCAAAATGAAATAGTGACATTACCATATAATTTGCGTTTTTTTGGCATATTTGGGCAACGTCGCTTAGCACAGAAAACCACAACCTAGCTAAGTCCATTGTGCTAATAGTAATTAAACTACTTGCGTACATTTAAAGCATTTAGGCCTAAAAATGTGAGTAATGTTTTTAGCGAATAGGCCATTTATTGTATACTTTCAAAAATTCTTTTGCAAAGCTTAATAATGAAATGTATTTAAGAAGACAAATCGGGCCCTTACTCGCTACATACAATTGCAATCTTTCATAGATGTATGTAATAATAAATACTAGCTCTTTGTTTAGACGCTTCATTGCAAAAACTAATTTATCAATCGCACCGATTTCTCAGCCGTTTGGTTCCTGTGCTGTAGAGATGGGGTTTCGCCGTTCCCGGAAATGCCAAATTTATCTACTCTTCAACCTAAACTTTATCTTGATGGTGAGCCTCGTCACATTTGCTATTATCCTTCTAGTTTTGACATTTGGCAGTTATTGTACGCAGCGTCATTGCAGTTTTTACCTTATAGGTTAGTGGGTACCCGGAGTTAATACTGTATTTTAACAAGTTCCTCTTTCTTGGTTTCGACCTAATGCTCCTTCTTATCTTGTCCTAGTTCATCCTCATAACTCATGGTACCCTTTGCACTGCAGCTTATAGGATTGGCAATTGTTGGGATATCTGTTATTTCTTACATGGAACCTGAAGTCCAAACAGTATTTGATGTTGCTGGGGTTGCTTACGTTACCCACATATTAACAATCGTGCTAATCTCTGTTGGATCTGCAACCATTGCTGTCGCTATTTTTGGATTCTGTGGGATCTATCGCGAATCCGCCTGCTTGATCAGTACCTATTGCACATGCCTGGCATTGGTTATATGCGTGGAAGCTGCTGTAGGAGTTTTAAGCATACTATATCATCAGGAGGTTTGTTATTTACACCTCTCATCAGAACACTACTAGGCTGAGGAGAAGGTGGTACGAGCTCTCAAGACTGTCATCGATGACTGGTTCACCAAATCGTCCGATCCCGGTTCCGAGGCCCGGAAAATCGTCAACCGAGAGGTCTTCCAGTCTTTTGTAGGTTTTTGTTCATGCATTTGGCCTCCACAAAAATATTCTAATCATGATTTAAAAGGGTCGTCTCTTCGCAAAACAATACTTACCAGGTTGCCTTCGTAAGCAATGGTCTCTGATACTCGTATCCAAAAATATACTAATGTCATGGTATTAGCAGTTCTTGGAATGTGCCTTTGACAAAACCAAATAGTCTCACATCGTAACTGGTCTGTACCGACTCGTCTTGGCTAAACCTTTTCCTCTGAGCATCACCCTCGCACTTATTTTCGTAAGTCGACCGTTACCTCCCTAGCTTGAGTGCTGCGGTGGGAGAGGACGCGCGGATTATGGAGACGTCTCGCTACCCCTCTCCTGTTGCCCGTCGCCAACTGACGTCTGCGACGCCACTGCCTACTCCGTGGTACGCGTCATACCTTCCTTCTTGCCATGACAGCCGGATTGTTCCTACGTCCTGTAGCCTGTCAGCACAGCTTGAATGGCCTGCGCTTCTCACACGCCTAGATGTCGCTAATGCTTTAGTACTTGTAATTGGGGATTGCTAGAATTGTTACCTGTCTGCTCTCTTTCAGGGATGCTACGAGAGGGCCACAACAGTAGTTAATAGCGGTCTTCAAGGCTTCACGGGAGTCGTACTGGCTATCGCTTCGTGTGAGGTTAGTTTCTTGTCATCACCTGGTATAGGTTGTCGATCGTTCCTATTTATTATGAGCATCGAACGAGTGTGCATCTCGTAATTACATTTCTCCGTTGTTCTCATGCCACAGATGATTAGTCTTCTTCTTTCACTGCTATTCTACTTCACCGTTGTTCGACGCAACTCTGGATCTGAATACGTTGCGGTTCCCCAAAGATAGCACTTGCACCACTTCGATATCAACCCGCCTTTATACTTTCTGTATTCACATCAGTCACCAATGTTTTTATCGGACATGACGAGCTTTCGATTTGCCACAAAATTTTTACTCCTATTCGGGTGTATCCAGAGATTTCTCTTACCTTTTTAATGTGGCGAATGAGCGCAAATTCTTTATTGAGTGTGATTAATGGCTAATTGTGGTTGCAGTACAAGCAATAGAAAAGTAAGCATTCTAGAAGGGTGTCTGGTTTACGGGGTCTTGGTACTGGGTGGGAATGATGAATGGCAGATGGGACGCACGCAAAACTCATTTGGTTGCAGCCGAAGGCTTAGGAAAATAACAGCTTGGTAGGAAACATTTCTGAAGTGTTTATTTCGATTTTAGTACAACCTGGAAAATCAATCCATGCGCCCTTTAAGGTCTGTGATGGTCACCCTATCCTTCTCACTAGAAATTGATAGAGGGGAGGGAAATTAACCTACATTAGGTAGACGCGCGCTCCCCATCCGGAAATACAGTCGCGGTTCATGGCGTTTAGGACGCACTGTGATATACACTCAAACAGCGCACAAGGATCCTAGGGAAAAAACGAAAAGTAGGGGGATGAAATTGAGTTGTCTTAATTACGCTGAAATGGTTACCCACCCGTGTTCGTGGATCTTTAACGAATAGCGGGGAGTTTGTAATGCTGTATCGCTGCCAACCACAAGCAAAGCCACAGGCAGTGCCTACACGTAAGTCCCAACGGTTAGCCATTCGACGAAGAGGCCCAAGAGAAGTACCGACACAATTGGGACAGAGGCGTGACAAATAGGCTAATGTGGGGCATCACTTAATTTCGGGTGTCCAGATTATGCATCATTCACATAAAAGCGTATAAATCCAGTACTCAGAAAAGTTAATTGGGAAGCAGAGAGGCTCAAAGACGGCTTACCATATCCTTTTCCCATAGCGTTTCGCACATGCCATACAGCTGTTCTGTACAAGACCCAGCAACAACAAATTCGTCAGTTTCCATAGCGTAGCCGATCACGTCCATGCCACCGATAAATGGTTCATTAGTCACGGGATCAATACCAACGACTACTGGCTCCACGAAATAAGGACCAAACCTAGCATGCCCTGATAACAATGAGGAAAATGTACCTTCGTTCATAGAGTAGATTGGCGAGCATACAGAGAAGAGTTTTCGGCCTGATATGACGATTTTCACGAAGTTCGTACATATTTTTGTGGAATACGAGTCGTTGACACCTATCGGTGGATACCATCACGAGAAAAGTAATTAGTTATAAACATGTGCATTGACACCTAGTTGCTAAAGGAATAATTGTGTAACTCAATTTACAAAAGTAAAAAGGACGAAAATGAGCTAATGAATTGCACGTTCTGGGTTGGACATATAAAGGGTATAGCCACCATGAAAAGTGTTAAAGAAACGGTGAGATTATATTTGGGTTATAAACCCATGGCAGTTATCAAGCAAGAATCATAATTAGAAAACTCAAGAAGGATATAAGGCTACTAATTTAGAAGGTAACATACGTAATGAAAAAAGTATGTTAGATCTAGAACAAGGGGCCTAACAGTTAGCATCACATCCCCGAAGTCAGATACATTAGTTCGAAGACCAGGGGCAGGGAATAGCCCTAGTACAGAATAAAAACAAAGACGCAAAATAGAGGTATACACATACACGGTTTCCTTGTCTGTTACCAAGCCAGGGAAACCAACAAAAAGATGTGGGCCGAGCTGTTCAACTTTTGGGTAATTGGTCGCGATTGTCTGATATCCCACACCAAAACGCAAATCAGTCGCAATCGCAACGCAGTCTTTTCCCTTCATTCCAATTACAGCAGACCCATTGTATGTAGTAATACTCTAGTATGCATCGACTTAAAGGGATGAAGGCGACCAACCATTATTAAGCAGTGCCAAAGACTTTGATTTCAGTGTTATGGCTTTGATGGATTTGAACAAAAACGAGAACGACCATTAAGATATGTGGATATGTTACTGTTTTGTGCCAGATGGAGTAAAAAGCGTAAATCTATGATAACACCTTTTATTCGCGCTAAAACCCGTATAATAAACTTTGGCATCTTAGATGCACACCATTCTATAAAATATATATTACAAACTACAAAACACGAGCTACTTTAATCAGGCGCCTTAGTTTGAAGTTTATAAAATGATAGCGTGGGTGTCTAACATATGCTGATTCTTCAATTTTGCAAGTTGGTGAATGAGTTTGCCATGAATGAAACACTGGTCACTGCCCCAAGTAGTCCTAAAGGGAAGTGTGAATTTCCAAGAATTGGTAGCACTATCAGCACCTTATGTTATAGACATCTTATTTATATTGTTCTTTCAAAATTTTCTAGTGGGTGGATTTCTCAGAAAGTGGTTGCACTCTGTGGCAGTGTTGATGAACCTCTAAGAGGACCAGCCTTTCCATCGCATGTAAGAGGTCGTGGTTAAGAGCTGTCATGTATACAATGGTTTTTACGCCCAGGCAGCCTCTTGCAGTGAAGGTGCAAAGCGAGATAACCATCGAGTTTTCGCACTAGTGCTGTTAGGTCAGTGTTCTTATAGGCATGCATGTTGGTCAGCACATCTCCCTTCCTCCAGTACAGTTTCCAAACAGGACAAAACTTCAGATCCAGATCCAGTGGGGTTGATAGAAGAGATCAATGACGTTGCGTTCAGATATCCCCCGGCTGCATGGCGATTCGATGACCGATGCGGTTAGTTCGTGGATGTCTTTCTTACGGCACCGATTAAGATGTGATGGCTGACGTGGGAGGATGATCAAATGGCTCACCTAGGAGGGAGCTGTAAAATACGTAGGTTGCTTCTATAACTCTTGGTTTTGGCAAGGGGTCACTTAGTTGCTCCACCACTGTACCCTGCTGGGCGGCCTGCCCTCTGGGCCATGCTAATAGACCCCAAGCTCTTCACCACGTCAATAATACATATTCTGCCCTATTATTGAGCCCTCTTTCATTCTTAGGGAAGTCTCTGGGTGCCATACTGGTAGTATGGCAAAGCGAATCTGTTCTCAAAAGCAAGCTCTTGAATTTTATTACTAAGCTATAAATCTTATCATGACGTACGAAATGCATATACTGCCGATGGGAGAACTTGTGCTGACCCAAAATAAAGGTTAAAAATAATGTAAATCTTTGGCAACTATCCTGTTACCGTGTTTAGCAGGAATGCCGTTAACAATTGAAGTGACGCCAGCAGTGGTAGTGAACCAACTGGAAGGTTGGTTAAGCGGCTGTCAATTAAGTGAACAGGCAGCACCTACTCTACCTCTCTACTGACTGGATAGAACCTGAATAGACAGTGAATTATAAATAAAGTGAAAAGAAGGAATAGGCGCAGAATACTATCCACACAAAACTGCCTTCAACTCCGTTCTTTATTAAATGACCATTTATAGGTCAGTGTTCCCACGACTAGAGGTGGGCATACGAGATGTCTTGCACATTCCCACTTTCCCAATACGGCTTTCAAACTGGAAGAAACTGCAGATCCAGTAGAACTGGCAAGAGATTGGAGACGTCGCAGTCAGGTGCCCTTTCAGTTGCCCAAAAATTCGATGAATGTCGCCTTTGGCTCGTGGCTGCTTGCCTTACAGCACCGACTACGTGATGGCTGACACGGGAGGTTGGACAAGAGGGACGCTGAGGAAGACGTTCAAAAGGAGAGGGGACTATGTAATACTTTGTTTATTTAACTCTAATTTTAGGTAATAAGTCACTTAGGACTCCTCCATTGTATCCTGGCCGTACAGCCTCCCCTGTCCTTCCAAATGTCGGTGATACATGTTCTACCCCAGCATTATGTCCTCTTTCGTGCTCAGGAAAAGCTTAGGCAGCTGTAAACACATATCAAGGTGTAGAAAGCGCATCTATTTTCTGGCATATCTTCGTGATACCTTTATAAATTTTTTTCATTTAACTAATGCCCAAAAAACCTTGTCACAGAAGATTATGTACTATGACCTAGCTCTTCCAAGACAGCATGCCTTGCCTCATATCCCAACAGTGGAATGCTACCTTGTGATACTTGATATGCGCAAAAGGTCAACAATAACTGTGGTGTCGTTACCGTTCTCGGCTCGATCACGTCAACTTGACCAATGGCGGCTGAACCCTACCAGTCCATGACACGCAAGGCGGCTGTTAATTTGGAGTGCTACGCACCCAGCAATTACTACACCGTACATCATCCATCGTTTTTGGCACGCACCGAATTAAGGTTTCAGTGCTCTTTGTACACTGATTGCAAAAGTGTTTATGTGGAACTGAATCTAAGTGCAAATTTGTTCTAGCCTATCAGCGAATTAGAGATGTCAGGATTTGAACTGATTAAGCTTGTATAGACACCAGGTCATTTGACAACACCACTTAAGAGCAAGAAGGTGCACATCTGAGGGAATTCTCAGCTATTGGCGTGGAAGCCAGATTGGGGGAAACCAAAAGGGTCTGCCTAGTCGTGTGCACAATTGAGGCAGCTAGCTTTCAGCGAGGTGTCTGTGTACACTACAGTTACTATCCAAACACTACCGAACAAAATCCTTCGGTAGCATGAAAATGTTTTGGGGAATGCCTTCATCAGAGTTTGGATGACTACTTTTAGGTAGTGGTGCATTCGCTTGGCTAACTGGATCTATATTACGTCCCATCGCTTTCATTAGTATGAAACGCACCCACACAAATCGTCTCTTACATAGTTCATAGTTTTCTTTGTAGAAAATTAAACTAAATGCCTAACGCTCCCTTTCAAACTCAACCGTAATGTTCAATGAGTTAGGTGCGATACCCAAATAGTTGCTGTTCATACAGAGCGGTAAAAGCATTTATGATTCCTAATACTTAATTGTTTTGTTCAAGGATTTTTACCCTCCAACATGGAAATTAATTCGGATCAAAGGTAAAGCTAAAAGAAATAAAGTATCCCGTAGGCCTGATTGCTGTACTCGGGGTTAGAAAATAATCTAACGCCTCGCTAAGCGATGAAATCATGTCTGCGGACAGTGGTGAACGTGGACAGTTACGCCGTATTTTTTAGTGTCCAAGGCCACAGCATGACGATTTCAGGGTTCCTGAATGATTCTGATGACTTCTTTAAAGTGGAGTTTGCAAGGGTGCCTAAAATATATCCTACGTCCTTTGAATGTCACATAGTTATTTGTAAATTATGTTTGCTTGTGTAGGACCGAAAATTTTCCTTGAAGTCGCGAAAAGTCACACCAGCATGTCAAGAACCATAATACTAGCCTACAGAAGGGCTGACGGGCTAATGGCATGGCCTGGAGGCCATGCTACCCAGCTGAGGGGAAAGCCGCAGAAATTAATGTGATTGTGTAATCATATGCAGGGGTACTAAAACTATCGACATATTAAAGTTGGAATCCACGTTTTGAATGGTAAGAAAAAATGCGGACCAACCTCCTGACCGGAAAGACGTCATCAATCCCCGAAGGGGGAAGTAGATTCTAAATTCTCCACATAATCAAGATTCTTCTTTATAATCTCACGCTTTTGCAATATGTAATGCCTTCCTCAAGTTAATTTTCTTGGTCCAGAAAACTGAGTTTTTGGCGCAGGGGGTGGGGGATAAACAGCGAAAACAATGCATACAAATAAAAAGAGGGTTTAAGAATCTGAGCTATAATTTTAAACACTTTTATTTACTTGCGAGGATTATTAGACTCTTTTAACATTATCTGAGAGATCCTTAACCACATTTCGCAATATATAGAACCCTAAGTCTTGGGTTTGCAATTTATTGCAGTGTAATACGATGGTGATTTAACCCTCGATACTAGTGGGGCACTACTTTTATACTTTGAACTAGCCTTCTTACCTCTCGTTGGGTGGGCTGGCCTTTTGGGCCATGCCAGTACCCCAAATACCTTCTCTATACTGAATACATATTTTCTGCCTGAGTATTGTGTCTTCTTTCGTCTTCAGGGAAGTCTCGGGACACTAAAGCAGTGCGGCTAGAGGGCCATGCCGATGGCCTTTAAGGCCTCCCGTACACCAACATCAAGCCAGTTTTAAAAATGATACTCCTTAACAAGATTTTACGAAAGACGCAGAATGTTGTACATTTGCGGCTTGAAGCACAGGTTTACACACTTGTCATTATCTCGTTGACTAAACTGATATCTAACCCCACCTGTAAGTGCGAAACAATGAAAAAACAACAGCAAAATGTATAAAATGTTGGCAGAGATCGCACAACAATTCGGTTTTTTGATAAATTCCAATAATTTATGCCAATTAAATTGATGGCCCACACATATGTGAATCACCAAGTATTCCCAAAAGCAACCCATTTTTACCAAACATAAATGTCAAAATCTAGTAAAACGGTGGTTATTCTGTACTCCAATTTATAGTAGGGGAATAAAATGAGTGAAATTACTGACCGAAATTTGTTTGAATAACCGAATGCGGGACATCATCCTCACGGGTGTCGCCTTCCAACCGCTTTCGTTTCTGGCCGTGCTGCATTAAGGTAATGCGTTTTCCTGTGTTGCTTTGTTGCCACTGCTTTGATACCTGTAGTCTCGATCTTTTTTAGATGTTTCCTACCTTCCCACTTGTCAAATCCTTGATTTTGGCCTCGCGGCCAGCGGTTTCCCGCGTTGTGATGGGGAACCTGCCAAAGTTGGGGTCTCTTGCTGCGCCCGAGATTGTATGCAAGAGCCTCCACACCTCTGTTGCTTACCGTGATATTGATCAAGCTGCTAAGTACATCGGCGCCGGTGCCGCTACCATTGGTGTTGCTGGATCCGGCGCTGGCATTGGTTCCGTCTTTGGGAACCTTGTTATGGGCTACGCTCGAAATCCCGGTCTTAAGCAGCAGCTTTTCTCCTACGCCATTCTTGGATTCGCCTTGAGTGAGGCTATGGGTCTCTTCTGTCTAATGATGGCGTTTCTGATACTGTATGCTTTCTGAACTATCATCAGTGCAGTAGCTGAGAATTGCTGATGTAAACTATGACTATAGTTCTGTCTTTTCATTAGCGATTGCATTTCATGCAATAGTTGTGGAAATAAATGAATTTTATACTGATCTGGATGTGTGATTTGGCTGATATTTCCGTGAGTTGAGTGTAGCCTCGTCCAACGCTCCTTTTTTTCCAGGACGACATTTTGGGTTCATGGATATTTCTAGACTTGCCTCGACATCGGGAGATTAAGTTGAGTCGACCGGGTGTGTCGTTTGCCTATGTCTAACGTGACAGTGGCTTTTGATGTGTACGGGTAGGGTGATTTTCGGTGCTCGTGATGCCTTTTCAGTTGCTCTTTCCGTCTTGGCGAGTTGGCACGGCTTGATGGGTTATGATGGACTGATCTCTTCTGGGGTCGCCCCTCTGGGCTCCGGTGCTGAACTAATATTTGACGTAGGTGTCTGGACACCGCTGCTTTCATTGATGTCTTACTGGTTGGGTGGTCGACTAGTCAAGTTGACAGTATGTCCTGCGGGATGGGTCTATCACGCCGAAGTTCTCTTTTGTGTATTTTTAGTTTGACGGCTGGGGGTCGATGACACCCGGTGCGAGCGGGTACTTCGCTCCGGAGTGCCGATTCACTAGTCGGCTTTATTTCAGTGGAGTTCCAGTTTGCTGCCGTTTGAACGAGGTCGGTGGCTGTTTCGTAAGTTGTTCAAAACTTCGGAACCTGACTCTTCGTTAAATGTGCGTTTTATCGCAGAGTGCGCTAAGCCGCGCCGCCTGTGGGGTTCTTACATACTTGTCTGTGTGCGCCGAGTGAGCCAAAGTATTTTACACATGATCAATGGGGGAATCTAGTGAAATCTGTAAGGGGTTGGTCTATTGTCGACTTAAATTCCACAAAAGTTCATTCTTGCTGAAGGATACTAATAACGCGGAAGTTATTGTGCACGGGTGCACATTTTCTCTTTCAGAAACAGCGTGAGTAAACTGTTTTGTAACGGTGGTACCGGAGTATCCTGGTGACCGGTAGCGACCTTGACATGAGCGCGCTAGAAGTCATCCGTTGTGGTGCTAAATCCAAATCTATATCTAGCTGGAAAAGTTAAAATTGCGGTTCAAATGCTGATTGCCGCTTCCTCGGTTGATGCGACACTCAGCTGCTGTGTTTGCACACCAACATGCTCATCAGGTCTTTCGAGGCGTTGGTATGGCATAGAGAGAACGCAGCACCCAAACGCTTGGTAGCCAGTTGAGTGGAACACTCTAATAGTAGTAGCAATAACTGCTATTCCCTATTTAACCAGAAATTCACTATGATTGCGGGTGCCGTAGGAATTTAGGACAACCTGTATAAGGCAGGCCAGTATTCATCGAAGTGTACTTTGTGACCATAAACGATTAGTTATTTTACAGAAATCATGTCTTGATCATTATGAGAGACAATGGAGCGGTAAATGTCTGCCCCGTTCATCCTACTCGAAATCCGTGAAAGTGTTTGGCATGCCCTACTTAATAGGCTCGTCAGTAGCGACTATTTTTGATGTAAGTTGGCACTGATTAAAATACACACATGCTCAGCATTATGGAAATGGGGTTTCCAGGTTCCAGCCTCTTTTCTAGAACAAATGGCTATCATAGTAACTTAGAAAATAGTTGGACAAACTGGTAATTGGAGAACATCGTCACTGCGGAGGGGACCCAGCACCCATGTGGGGGAGGGGGAAAATTGTGCTACACGCGGTGCCTGTTTACCTCACACTTATGAAACATGTCTACAAGCCTATTAAAAATTAGTGATCTAAGCATAAAATACGATTTAATAGCGACTTCCAAGTGCTTCTACAACTTCCTGCAGGTAGGTGACTCCCAAGCGTCCCCCACAGAATTAGTCATACCCCAGCGATTCCAAGCCTAAGTAGTCATAAGAGTAGAATAAAATAGCGATAAAACAATCGTCTTATATGTTGAGAAATTAGGATTACCAAGGTACCATAAAATCAAACTGTCGTGTGAAAAAATGCGTCTTAGTGGGAGAGAGAGAGGTAAATAAATAAATAACTGAAGGTGGTGGTGGTGGTGAAAAAGGCATCTAAAAGGTAATTTTTTCGATCAATTGCGGTCAAATTCCAGAATACAGCTCTTTATCTTCTGGATCCATCTAAAATGAGCAAAAATAGTGCGTAAGAATGGGGGTTCGTTCGGTGAAGTAACACTTAGTTTACATTCGTGAAAAACGTAAACCCAAACACTCAGTGGCCATTCGAATTATGCTGGTCTGCGAGGCAGCTGCATTTTCACCCATCATTTCAACTACCAAATGCACAATGGGGTCTACCAGTGGCGAAGTACGCGATCTAAGAACTGAACTTCCAAGTAGGAATACTCACAATTCATTGAAGACTAGCAAAATTTCACGCACCTGGAGCTCCGTCAAAAAGACTGCTAAAATATCAATTTCAGTCCATGTACAAGCGCTTGACACCTTAGCAAGGCTAGAATTTCAGTGCTAGAAGTAAATACCATCGCCAAGAGCCAATCTAGGGAACTCACATGTTGCGCACTTCTTCACTAGGTGCCTCAAAATAGTGGCCAACTTTGTCTGTGTTGTTGGGCAGTACGAGAAAGCCGTTCATGTTAGATAGTACCGAGAGGGTGTCGGCGGAGACTGGGGTAACCACCTTAGAGATTGTAGGAAGTCCTTCAATCCTATGATTCTCATTCTCCCCTGCCGACACCGCAGCCTCATCTTCCTCCACCTCCTCCTCCGACTTGGATGGAGGAACCATTGCAAGTGGTGTCTTTTGGCCGCAGACACGTGTGTAAAAGCTGCTACCCCTGACTTCACTTACGGTCTTGCGAATGGGCGATCGCTCTGCTCCCGAGAATCTATTTTCTTCGATCGGTACCGCTGTCGAAATGAACAGTCAGTAATAGAGTATAGCGCCAACACCATAATTAACTCATGTAATATGATAACTTCGTGAATAACTGATGCATTACAGTGGATCTTCAAGGCATTTTAAAATCACAATTGGTCACGCATGTGGCACAAATAAACAGAGAACCTACAGGATACAGATTTGGAATCGATACTACTACGGCTGCTCGTGCCTGAGCTCTTCCTTCTTCCAATGCGTGGACGGTCTGATGGCGGGGAGGGTGTGGAAGAGGCGGAGTTACTATCACGAGCCACCGCTCTCCCTCCACTCAGTCTCACAAGGTAGACGAGACGCGTCCCGAGAAGGATGATACCATCGCAACTCCGTGCGTCTTCCTTCGCCGCATACACGGCCATCAGCGTGTCTGACTGGAGGACGCAAAAGACCCGCGAGGCCTGGGGTCGGATAATGAGACGGGCAGCTGGCAGTGGGACGATGGTGGAGGGGTAGGGAGGGGTGGCACCAGTAGTAGCGGTGAAGGAGGAGGATTCACCGAGGCAAGCAAAGTCGAGACTCATTTCGCGCAAGGGGCTTGAGAGGAAGAGAGATGGTGAGTTGTTGCCAGATGAAGAAAGGGTGGGAGGGGTGGAAGGGGGAGGCCGAGAAGGGCTCTTATCTCGGGACACCAGACCGGCGGAGTACTCTATACGCATATGCGTTTTCTTATGTGGCCAGCAGTCGCGAATTTTCTTTGTGAACATCAGGAAACCGCAGTGGTATGGTGCGTATCGCTGTCCCTATTCGTAGATATAAATTTCGACATGAGTACGTCAAATATTAGCAAAAATACGAATCAGTGCGAATAAATACAGTCAAATACAACTGTTAGAGCATGAAAAATCAACTGAATTTTACTCCTTTTTGGTAACAACATGGAAAACGAAAAGGTTTAGGGGCGCAACTGCTTTGGATCCTGTTGCATGCACATGAACTGATAGGGAAAGTAAAGCAAATATGATCGGCACAAACTTGTGACAGAATAATATAACTTCAGTTACATATTCGATCATCTAAATCTTCCCAGTCCTTACGGTCTGACTTTACGACGGTGGCATGGGGCTCTGGTCAAGCCATCCAAGCTATTTGTCTCCCAGCTAATTCAAGACCCATAAGCCTTATGGAGCTTGTCAAGGCAAAATAAACCACCGAGCCAGCTTTTCCATCCCTTTAACTAGCCTTAACGACAGTGGTATGGAGCTCCACTCCAGTCCCTCCTGCAGCTATCCTGCAAGCTCTTCAATTAAGCTACTTTCATACCCATCATCAGTGATAAATAGGTTACAATTTCATGAATAGAAGAATGAAAAGGGCAAGACAATTACCGATTCGGAGAACTGCGCAATCCGCTCCAAAGCTGCAGCGGTCTTCGGTTTAAGGTTGGGATTCAGACGGTAAAAATCCACCTCACAGACTCGAACCTCCGACGGTCCCTGATGATCAACCTTGGCTCTGTAGTTGGAGCACACGCCGCAAAATATCTACATTCAACGAGAAAACAAAACGCCAAAAATCTGAGCAAGATACACTCGAAATGTGGTCATCCCAAGTTTTGTTAATGTTGTCCTTTGGTGGACTAGGACATCTAATAGTGACATTGTGATGCTCATATCAACACTCGAAGGCTATTTCGATGGCAGGAGGAAGGATTAGTTTCTCACATACCCCACCATTAAAACGAGTTGACAAATTTGTCACACATTGAGGTTGTTGTTTATGCCTGGCCACAACGAATAATGCAAGTTTTTCCCGGCTCACTCTATGGCAATACGCGTGGGTGGATGTGATTCGGCCACAAGGTTGACCGACATTCGACAAAACGAAACAACGATCGGCTTGCATGGAAATAGACAAAATAAATGAACTCCGCTGTGAAAAAAGACTGGTGGATACGACTGAGAGACCAGAGATTAAAATAGTCTGGCACGACGGTGATCCAAATGCAAGGTAGCGTGAACACACTCTGAGTGTAGAACTACACGTGACCAGGATGTGAATTGGTTAAGCTTTAACTAAATGGTAGGCAATCATTGTCGAAATGAATTCCGAGCTTTTGAGACTCCGATTGGTTGAGCACACCTTCAGACGCCCTACTACACGAAAATGAGGAGGTAAAATGTGAAGCCCAAACTTCACTACTGAGGCATAGAGAAAAAGATGCAAAAGTCAACATCCATTGTTTTTCGACGTGACGCATTTGATCTCATAAGTGCCTGCAAGGATGTGTAGTCACCACAAAATTTGTTTTTTAAAATGTTGCTATTTAAAAGTTTCCTACAGATGACAAGAAGCACAAGGAAGGCTAAGAAACAGCAAGTGGAAGGATGCACAGATGGAGGGCTGGAGGAATGAATGAATAAAGGAATGACGAGGAGGGGGGTTTGAAGTGGAGAGCGTAGTAGGAGAGGTGAAAGGTAAAAGGTCAGAAGTGAAGAGTACACTGATGTCAGCAACTATGCCACGTAGAAAGCACCGGTTCTCGTCCGATCACTGACTTTGAGCCACATTGGATCAGTAATTGGTCTTAAACAGCTAATCCTGTCTGACAAGCAATTTTCCCTTTTAATGGGTCTTAAAGTAAATACACCTACAAAACATTATCGCACCCACTCATTCTGAGAAGAGAGTGCTCTCTCAAAGGAAATGGTGAAAGGGCTGGAGAGCATCCAAGTGTTCAGCCACATGGATATCATAAGCGAATGACTCCAGCTGATTAAAGAAAACGGAAGGCTGTAAAGAGACTGGAGAATGCAGCTCTGAACAACTGATAAGGCTAGCATGGAATCAGTGGTCCATCAGGGAATGTACTTTCGAGAAGAAATATTTTGTATATGGTGTTGGAGGGTTGGCATGTCTCGCACACAGTTGACTCAATTATGCTGTGATCTGACGCAAATTTGAGCTCATACTGTTATTGTCAGTCCCAATTTTATGGCTACGAAGTACTGACGGATTCCCTTTATGGGAAAGTTTTTTTATTGGCTATTTCTCAGGGAAGAAAAGCGTATCAGGAGCCGAAGTAACAATTTATTACGTTGTTTTTTCACTGCCTGGATCCGGTGTCTCACACATTCATTGAGAAGGTGATGTCATGATCGCGCTAATTCTGCGGATCACTTATTCGGAAACCAATCTTCCATGTATTCCTAGAACAGACATTCACTGGCTACACACTTTGGGAATGAACCTGATGAATCGGGTGAGAATTAAAGTGGTAGGGGAAGTCACCTTTCCGCAGGCTCGACAGTGATGCTTGCGTCGGATGTGAGTGAAGCGGCGGTAGCAGAGGGCGCACATCGTTGCCTGCTCGTCCTTAACCCACTCTGCAGCTCTCGGCGTCTCCCCGTCCTTGATGGTCGCGACGCTCTAAAAAAGCAAAATGAAACTCCCTTGAACTCACCAGGTGTTAGCACGTTAGCCGCCAGAGAATTGTCATTAACTGGTTTCCTTCCAGCGTAATGTGCCACACACTTGTGATGTGCAGGTTTGAGTAAGTAGAACGTGATGTCACCTATACGTGACATTGGTAACAAAATGTAGGCGGAAGCTAAATCGGATTGATTAATCAGTGGTGGTGGGGTGAGGGCTGGAGAATTGGAAATGCATTGAATATTCAACAGTCTCTGAAAGTTCTTTTCCACACAATTTAAAAGGTTTTCCGTCGATACCCTGTATCCTTGTCAAAGTTCGCACACCTCTCACCCAGCATAGACATGGATACACACTCGGCTGTCACATGTCATAGACAAGTGGTCGCCTGCAAAAGATGTGTTTGTGTGTGATCCGATGACATCAGTAGCAGAAATAGAAGATAGACAAAAAAGCTACAGGCAGGCATGAATCTATCAAAAATGCGTACTGAACCATGTTTGAACACGATGACACGCAGGTCAGTTATTTTCACTTGGCTAAGCAGGAAATACGTATCGAATAAAACGTCTCGTTGGTGAAAAGAAAAGATGGAGTTAATTAACCCTGAGTATGCACGATAATAACATGCTCTGATGAGCACACAAGCTCTTAAAAAGTAAGCCGCTCATCTACCGAACGCATTTGGAAAGGTTGTCCTGCCCATGACCAACAGGTGGGGCTAAGAACTGACCCTACTGGAAAACAAGTTCATTAAACCGTGAAGACCAAAAACTCCGACTTTGAGGATTTAGTTGATGTCTATCGTTTTCCGTAAATATTTCGTGGCTTAAGCTTTACTTTTTCCCAGGACGTAGGGGGTCCAAATGAGATAAGCTGAATGAAGTGTGGCTCAATGCGGGCGAAGTGCCGAAACGCATGAACACTAACACCCGTTGAACGGCAACCGAATGGACCAATGAGCCATGAACGGGCGCACACACGCGGAACGGATTGTCTACCTGCGTAAACAAGCCACCTCGTTTGACTCACCTACGTCTCTGACCGAACGGCGTTAGTGATAGTTTTTGAAATGTTGCAAGAGCCATCAACTGACCAGACCTAGAATCTTGGCCAGATGAACGACTGAGAAGGTAATGTCAACGATGGCTGAATGATGTGGTTCAGTCGTGGTCCCAGTTACACTAATTTGGTAGTGTTCGCGTTTTGCCCATGTCTACAGCCTCTCAACTCTTCCGTAGTAGTATGCCCCATGACGCCCTCAGAGATAACTCAGAACCTTACGGTACTGATAAACCCCAATCTTAGTGTCGATGCTTTTTCTCAAAAACCACTACTCAGAACTAAGGCAATTTCATGTTTGACACAATTAATATTTCGGGACAATTAGAAAACCTGCGTTGGTTTATATACCTACAACTTGATTAGTGAATCAAGTTGACATTCTCATTCACATTAAACTCACTGATTGTCGCCTCGGGATGACGCCGAGCACCAGGTTATTTCTATGCCGCTCCTGTTCTATTGTTTCCTCTAAACTCTTGCACCAGCTTAGCTTCTCGTCTGCGTCTCTAAAAAAGCCCACATTTTGTAAATATCGACGCACAAAAAAGAATAAATGAAAAGGAAGTAGACACTGATTCCGAAAAAATGGAACAGTGAGAGTTAGTTGAGATGGTATTACTAGTTTGGACAAGATTTGTCAAACCATCTAACACAATTTGCCGATTATCTTTGGGATATGAAAAGGTATGATTTTATACTTGTAGGAGTAAATATCCATGTGGAGTGATATGTTGAACGCCAGCTACACGGTAGGCGGATGACAATGGTTGACCTTACATTAACCACAAAAACATTAGGAACGGTTGAATGAAACACAAATTCCGATTAGATGCCCTTTTCCATATCTCAGCCAATTCTTCATCTACGCCTTAAAGTCATACTAGATGTAGTAAAGTGTCTTTCGCGATGTAGATCCAATGAATAGGCAACAGACAGTCTTGGAGGTAAGATCGCGAATCAAATAGTTGTACTATCGGATACACCACCAGGTCACAAATAGCTTCAAATAAGTTCAAATTGTTCAAATAGCGTTATTTATGGACATTTTGTAGCCAAGGTTAACTCTATGCAACTAGGCAGCTATCCATTAAAAATCAGGGTATCAAAGAAAACCGACTCTTGGTCTAGGAATAAGGCTTACGTGATGTTCGAGGTAAGAGCTTTACGACAGGTGCTGCATGGTTTTTCGAAAGATTACGCTCTGAACAGGAAGCTGACGTATGCAATAGGTGTTTTGACAATGAACTTTCCAGTCGCCTACGCTTTTACCCTTAGATTGACTGTCCGATGTGCTCGCTTCACCCAGTACTCAAGTAACAAAACAACCCATATGATCTACAACCTCCAAAGCTTATCCACGTTCCCATAAAAGTGACAAAAATACAATGTATAAACTGGTATTAACTATTTATTATTACACCTTATTTCCTTTTTTTCATATGGGAGTGACCTTTTGGGGCACCAAAAATGCTAGGGAAGCCGTAACTACGATCCCTTACTTCTCATTGAACATACCACATCGCAGACTTCATCATATCACCAACCGCTGGAGCACTTATTTCTGTCGAGTGTCAATCACTGTCTGCTTAAATTTGACACCAACAAAAGTGCCTGGTTCAAATGAATGTGAGGATGAAATCCAACGCGGTAGTATCTACTTCGAGCCTAGTACAACATTAAGTTTTTCTGTCCTCTGGGCTACAAACGCTACACCGGGTTGATTATATTTTTCAGTGGCATTTATGCACTCCTACCTCTTATGACACTTGAAGAGCATCTTGAGCACTAAAGAAATTCACCAGAAGTGCAATAAATTGGACTACTAGACGGGCTTTGGAGGTGGGCTACACGCATTCCAGGTGTCATTGGTTGTTACCTATGGGTAGCTTGGTCAGCATTGCCTACCTGACACCAGTAGCTGTTAAAGTGACACACAGCACGATTTCTTGTTTCCGTTAGGGTCAAAATCGACAAAGGGGGGAAACAGCTTACGCGAACATAAGCTCGACCACACACTCGACCGCACGCACACGGATGCATCGCTCGACTGGGATATCATCTTCCAGCTTTGGCTCCTCCAGCTACAAGTATAGATTAGGTTATTCAGTGTGGAATGAGGAATTGTTAGGAGCAGTCATGTGTATTCGTAAAGTTGTAAAGTTTCTCATCCAAAGGGACGGGTCTCTAATGTAAGGGGTTTGAATGATCTAGCAGTTCTCCACATATAAAAGGAAAGATAGATGTATTCTTCCATCAAATTTTAAAGCATAGCGTCTCAAGTGACGATTAGTAACACAAAATAACCCGAAGTGTGAGGGGTTGAAGTATGTAAAATATTGTTACGGCAATGAATTTCCAATAGCTGAGAAATTTGCCTAAAATTTGAGCATAAATGCGCGAACTAAGAATAGGATAACGATGGAGTAAGGATGATAATGCATAAAAGCAATAAAGAAGCGCGGAAAACTATAATTTCTACAGAAAGTACCACTTTGCATGACCAGCGTATTATCAGCCCGAATTTCCACAAAATAGAAAAAAACACTCCTATTCCACTTAAAGGTAAATGGTCGTTAGAGTTTTATCTTGGTAAGACATCAGAAACCATTAAGATTTCACTGCACGGTAGAAAGCAGGCATGGGGAGAGAAATGACCACTGAATACTTACGATCATGCTCACAATCGTCAATTCCGACTTGACCAAATAATGACCAGTCGTCACTGTTTCCGGTTCCGTCATGATGAGATAGTCGGAAAACTAAAATAAAACGCTTTATCATCCATTACAACTTGTATGAGCACGAACGAGCAGTTTATTACTCAAGTAACGGGTGTACAATTAAAATACAAAGCAAAAACACCTGTATGAAATACAGTAGGTCGAAAAGGAATTAGAGAAAAAGACTAGGGGATCTTACAAGAAATAAATGTCGATTTAGTGGTCTCTTCCCTACTGACCGTCGAGGAATTTTCAGACATGGGCCCGAACGAATAAATAAGGACAGTTTATCCAGGTCACTTCTTCTTCCGTCAAGTTTGGAATTTATCAAAAGCGCTTGGTTGATCATTTCCTAAAATAACAGCAATTTCATGAAATAAACACAAGCTACATTTTTTGTAACTTCCTCTTCAGATATTTTCAAGACATTTATTATTATTTTTAAGGCACCTAAATGCTAAAAATGTGTACCAAATGTTTACCTACATTCACAGCGCTCTCGATCGATCCCCTCCGGTAGAAGATCCACGATTTCTAGAAAAATGATTGTATTCCAAATAACAAACATACTCTGGAGAAGCAATTGATATCGCATCAAACGGCTTTGAATTCCAATGTACATTCCCGGAATATTTTGCATATGTTGTTCTGTGAACTGACTTGTTAGCTAAATAAAAAGGACAGCTACTTAGCAATTAAAGGTGATCCTTGCTAAGCAGCATAAAATTTGACCGTTAATTCATTAAAAATGATAATATTCAAATAAAAATGCTGTTTAACAACAAGATAATATACCACAAGTGTTTGACAAAATTGCTGAAAAAGTTTGTCCTTGTCATAAATTGATTGAAGTGTTTCATACTTTGTACGAACTCGAGATAAAAAGGCTTTGTAGATATTAAAAAAAGGTGCCAACTCAGCACTAGCAAATATTTGGATCCACCATCCAAAGACAGGATTCCGAGATGGGCTCTGGTAGAACTTATCGTCCATGTAACTATGAAGCATGTACAAAGACGGTATCTCCTTAAACACATCACGAAGAACATCCTGGTGATCCGATTCAGTCGTTTCAACTTTGTCACTAATATCTTTTAAAATCCGTAATGTCTCGAGATATCGCTTCTCAGTTGCGAATAATTCATTTGACAAATTCTCCAACTTCCTTATCTTTTTCTGAGCGGGAGACTGTTCGTCGACACCTAGAGACCCATTTTTGGCCGAAACTAGCAATGTCTTTACACGGTCTTTGGCTTCTACTTCAAGTGAAATTTTGGCTTTTTGCATTAGATTAGCCTCGTTTTGAAGATATAGCGTCCGAATCGCGTTGCTTATTGCATTCGCTGCCCTGATATTATGAGCAACACTACTTTCGGGATTCTTAATCTCATCTCTCTTGATAAGATCAGGAATCAGGAAGTCAATCTTAAGCGCAAATGATTCCGACGCAATCATGAGAAATTATCGCCGCCAGAACCTCGAAGTTACCGGACACGATTTCAAGGCTATTTATTTCCTAAATAAAGCTCAGTTAAAAAAATGCTATTAAATGACTGCTTTGTAAGATCCAAACAAATTGCCTAACATATGCATCCTTTAAAAATATTTTAAATTTATAAGGGAGGCCAAAAGCCTAAAATGATTATTAGCGGCATCTAGCAAATTAGAATTTCGGCACTGATATACCCAATCAACAACCGCCTTGGATATACAAAAATTTTGATAAAATTTTTTACGGGTCGCTGTTTAAATGGACAAAACACGCACCAACCCACTAAAAGGCATGAACTGAGCCCCAACTCTGGCTGAGGAAGTTGCCGCTCTCTCCCACGGCAGGCGTAGCACGCCCGCCCCAAATCAATGTGAGTACCACACACGCACAGTCGTAGATCGTGAAGATGGTTCCTGCCAAACCACCACCTTCCCCGGCTACCCCACCCACGGTGCTGTTTGACTTAATGGAGGCAGCTTCCAGAGACTTCTGTCCCGCCATATCTCACCAAAGCGGGTCGTGAACCACCACCCTGAGACCTAGAGGGCAGCGACTGAAACATGCGCACCCAACCCCACGTCGCAACCCATATGACGACAGCGCTGACCACCGAGTGATGGAATACAGACAGCTCTCAACGCGGAAAATAGATAGTGTATTTTTGACCTCATAGAAAGCACGACTATGCATCGCGCTAACTCCATCCAAACACATAATCGAGCGCTTTGGACAACAGTCCAGATGATTGCCAGTTCCCCGCCTAAATTTAGGAAAAAAAAGAAGTCCTGATTAACTAACTCGATACGACAACTTTATCGCAGAATATTACATTTAAAGCAACTTCAAACAGTGCCATAAATACTCACCCGAAAGGATTGGTTCTGACCGGCCCTTACTACTTGCACCCTGGGAGGTGGGTGGTAGGGCGTCGCAAGTGGCCGCATGGAGCTGTGTCGGGTGAGGCCGGAACCGGGGCGCACAGGACCCGGACTATTGAGTGCGTCCGCAAAACTGCGGTTGCAGGATCCCGGAGACTCCGTAGCGGCCGTAATCCGTGCACCACCTCGAACAAACGGGGAATCGAACTTGTGCGGGGGAGATTCGAAAATTTCCTGCACATGGGACCCCGAAACGCTTTTTTCTCCTACACCGGTGGGCTTGACCTCAGCCATGAAGTCTGAGCTGCTCGGAGTGAGAGCCTCGGAACTGTTCAATGCATTCTAGGGGACGGGGGAATGGATCCAATAACAAACTATTAACGAAGCCTTACCAGATCGTCACACCTCCGTACACCGATCATGAATTTACCAGCGAGTACCCGCCCGTTTTTGTTAAGTGCGCATCTGGCTTGAATCTTATTTGCGTACTTAATGTTCATCCAATTTCCACCATTTGTAATCTAAGCCAGAAGAAAACGCAAACAGCGAGTTCTACTAAAACAAAAAACCCGTGTCGCTTTGCCAATAAATTAATAAAAGGACTAACGACATATTTTTCAATGGTTCCCAGGTGAGCAAAGTGTTGCAACACATAGTTTGCCTGGGCTGGATCATATCCAAAAACAGTTACCCAAGTTGCTGACTCATCGTCAGGTGCAGCAGGGTGACTACAGATTTAAAAGGGTCCATGAGAAATTGAATAAAAAAAAACTACGCTATGCATAGAAATCCGCCTCACCCATCCCTATGTGACCTATCCAAAGTCGACATTTGTAATGGGGACTGGAATGGAGAAAAAAAACTCGATGTATCCGTAGCGGTACGAATTACCATAGGCTGACTTGGAGACAAAAGAGATCTTTTTGCGGTGGACTCCAAGGCACTTGGAACGATTCCCTGAGTTAAGCAGCTTTTTTTGGCTTGCACTAGACCATAAACTTTGGGTCGGTGGAGCGGCATGTCTGCGAGCACTCCGCTCAAGTGAAGGCGGTGTCTTTAACCCTGACAGTCGGGGCTAAAAAACAAATATATGGAGTGGTAACAAAAGTGCACACACCTGAACAACCCAAGTATGATGAGAGGTAGGAAGATGAGGCTGGGACTTAAATATGGGGGAAACTTGGTGCCCATTTGTGCACGAAGACTGGGAATCTCCCATTAAGAATCCAGGCAAATATTGTGGACTCGAGAAGTTGGAGGATGGAGCTGAAGGAGAACCCACATTCATTGGTTCCGAACTTCTACTACCTCGTTCAGGAGATTGGATAGAACACATAGAAGAAGGTGAGCCCAAGTTTAGTATCATCGAGCGTAACGCCAGTGCGAAATCAAACAAAAACAGTGGTTAAAACAAGTGAATGGTAATAAAATAAACAAATCGGGAACAAAGGTGGTTCATAAATTTGGAATGACTGAAGCCACACACGAATAAAATGCGATCACAACGGTTGCGCAAACGCAGATAAAACATCAATGAAAATTCTAAATGGACGAAAAGCAAATTCAATGAATTCCGAAATATTAGGGCACATCCTAGTAAAACACAAGTGTGCCTAGGAATACCTTTTGTGGCTTTAAAACTCAATGCAAATGCGATCTCTGTGCGGCGTCAAAAACAGAGTTGCATGAAAAATCAACAAGGTCATATTGCAAGTCCCATCTAAAAACATGGGATTCAGTGTATCGATTTGTAACTTTGTATCATAGCATTGTCAGTAGACCATGTATATTTCGCTTCAGCCTCTATACGAATTAGTAATAAATCGGTGCTTAATGTTAATATACGTTCCATGTTTTATTTGCATTAAACAATACATTGTTCGGCCCTTCGTAAGCACCCAAACTTCACTGCCAATACTGACAACTTCGGCTGAATATTCCAGAGCACCGTTACATGCTTCAATTAAAGCAACTTTACCAGGCAAAGATATGATATGGCAAGTTCCCCGTGAAGTGCTAGTCTATTGAAAAATTCACAACTAGTTGAAGCATGTGTGGCGTCCCAAGACTCCCTGAAGACGAAAAAAGACACAATATTCGGACAAAATACATGTTTACTACAGAGAAGGTGTCCGGGCTATTGGCATGGCTTAAAAGGCCAACGCACCCAGCGAGGTACAAGGGGGCTGATTCAAAGTACAGAAGTGGCGCCTCGCCAGAACCAAGGGATAAACCACTATAGTATTACACTATGTTTTGTATTTTAGTATCTAAAAGTCCTATCAAACCTTGGAAGACCGCATATGTTTATTCTGTTTTAGTCCATATATCTTTCGCAAAATAAGTATTTGCTTAATGGTAATGATCGGTAGAAAAAGCGTCTCTTGACGACCTCCAATATCCCTTAAGGGGGAACCCATTCTAGTAATGCATAGTTGTTTAACATTGTGTCTATTCTATTCTTTGTGGGACGAATTTACCATCTGCACTACGGCCTTTAAGCTACACAGCTTAGGCCATTATTTCCTACTGCATAACACTAAAAATGGTTTTCAAAGGATTGCCTAATTTAAAATACCTCTTTAATAGGCAATTATGTTTTTGTAACAAACTAGTGTTTGGTTTGTCACCTATTAAAAATATACTTTTTTATTCATTAACGCAGCTGACGAGAAGTCACTGACCTTCCCATGTATTTGAGCTTGGGAGTGGTGTAACGATGAGCAGGATCAAGGCGAAGCTTCATTTTGTATGCTGTTTCCCTTTTATAGGTGCTATAATTTGCGTATTTTGTTATGGTTGCTTAGTTTGTTCGGAAATTTAAAAGAGCCACACATTATTTCTGCACCTTGACCGTCGTTCCCAATGTAGGATAATTATTTTATCAAGACTTCACTTTTATCGGTTTTTAAAACACCCTTACTTACCAATATTTTCTAGAAATGGGAACTTTTACCGCAGATTTTTGTGACGTATTGAAATAATCAAATCCAAACAACGTCCTACCTTGGTTTCTTATTTTGCAACGCTCAAATAAGACTTTAACTCCCATTATACAATTGTTTCGCATCTACTGCACTTTAATTGTAGACGAAAGGAAATAGATCAGTCTTGAATTCGGGCGGTGCCGCCGGTGCAGATGTAAATCTTACTGACATTTCCGTTTCATAGTCTATTCTATTATTTTGTTGCTGTTTCTTCATTTTATTATAGCTCTTCTTATTTTGTACTAATTTTGACAGCACACTGGCTGTTATATTTTTAATTTTAGGTGGGAATTTGGCCTTTTGTTTTATATGTATTAACTCATTTTCAAGTCTACTTTTTTGCTTTTCACGTCTCTTTCTGCACAGGATTTGAGCGAGTGCAAAAAGTTCTACGCTCATTTAGAGTCGAAGATGACGAGGGTTTTGCGCCCTACCCGTCACTTACACTCACAAGTGCCCCTGTTAAAGAACAACAAGCAGGAAAATTATAATTACGAAGAGAAGAGCTTTGTTGGTTATTTGAAGAGATTCTGTGATAGTCTTACTGGACATGTTCGTACGTTAGTGGATTTTACCAATTCTTCCACCGTATTTCTGTTTAATAGAATGCTTTTGTGCTGTCACAGTTTGCGTTTTTTTATGAAATTTATCATTCACCATGTTTATTGCGATGCATTTTATGTATTATAACTATGTACGACAACACTTATTTCATTCTAAACCGGTTTTACTTCGCATAAAGCGAACTTTGCAGTGAACTTTAGAGTAGACTGGTGGGAGGTTTTAAATGTTGTTTGACTTTGGACACTTTACATGAGATTTGAGACGCATTGAATAATACGAAGGTATACCTGCTTCAAGCTAACTAGCTAAAATACCTAGTCTAGAACAACCAGGATGTGTATTTCTTAACCTAACTTGCCCGCTTTTAATACTTCATGCACAATTTAGGGTTGATTTGAGAGTACAATTTTTGGGACCTTCTGCAGGGATCATTAATCGACGAACATCATTCATCTCTCATGGTACCTTGAAATAACTATTTTACGTTTAAGTATCCAAAAGATGGCATTGTCACTTTTTTCTGAAGCAACTTTGCTCTTTTAAGCAAATTTTATTAAAGACTCGCTCTCTGGCTTGTAGGGGAAGCAATACAAGCCATGGTGGCAACGTACCAGCAGATAGCTGATCTTAAATCACAGCGTGATTCAAATATGCGGACCGAAGTTTTTAGCCCTATCAAAGAGACAACACTCAAGGAGATATCAAATATTCAGGTGTGTTCATTACATAAAATACTAATTACTAGTGGGTGTAGCGTTGCTAGTCAGTAATCCACCTCAGATACCAAGTATTAACTGTCGCGTCGGTGATGAATTGAATTTGATTGTGTGGGAGAATTGTTGGAAAATTTTTTGAATGCTTGACAAGTGGTTAAACCCAACTGATCGATTCCCAAATGTTTTTTTTTATCCTTCCGGATTAATGTCCCATCATACACAGGTTTGTGATTGCTTAAAATGACAAATGAATCTATGACACACCAAGACATAACATTACGCAAAATAAGTAACTTGAGGTCGTTTTTGGATTTACAGAAACTGCAAAGGTTGGTCATAGAAGCGCAGAATCAACTAGCGGCGGCTGAAAGGAACAGGGAAAAAGATGGTGGGTTAGTAACCTCGTGAATATGTTTATGAGGTTAAAGACGGGAGAGCTTCAGTGTCATTCCCGTTAAGGGCAAAAATCTCTCCTTCCTTCCACTGCTAAAGTTAATGTCTTTTCTTATGAATCACACTTCTGTGATTTTCCGTACCTTACGAAAGTTTTGGTGCGTAATTAGAGTATTTGGTAATAGGTAGCTCCACTTAATGCTTTAATGGATTTGCAACCTTTTTTAAAGAAGTATTAGGATTTGTAACATCTTTGACACTGGACACATCGAAATTATCCGCTCCCAAAGGGCATGTGTAATTTTAGATGGCAAAAATTGCTTGACGAAGTATGATTTTAACTAAAAAGACAACGCTAGCCTTTGCTTTAGCAGATGCACATATTTCATTGACTTCAAAAGCCACTTGAGTGGTGTGGGCGAGAGCTACGGGAACCAATCAGTTTTGGGCCTTCCACAGTGCTATCTACAGCTGTCGTTTTGACGACGTCAACACAAAATTTCTTTAATAACTATAAGTACCACACGTCAGAGTGTAAAATTCCAGGGATGTTTGTGCATTAAGGCACTTTTGACACACTGGTAGAGTGACGTGAAGAGGTTGTCTGTGATGGCCAAATTGGTCACTATTTTGTAGAAACGGGAAGTCTAGTGGAACGTGTGTGGCTTACTCCTAGCTTAAAATTCATCCTTAAATTTGACAATGTGTAGGAGATTGGGATAAATTGTATAATTCTTTTAGGCAGCCAGCAGGCGACAGATCGACGTGATCAAGCCTTTAGATCCCACTCCGAGGCAACGGAGAGACTCAAGAAAGCCATCATAGAGTTCAAGCAAGATGAGGTAGACATATGAAGCGCCTTATTCATGGAGGTTCCAAAGATATAATAAAGAGAGCTTTTATTACTTTTAGCCCAAGAGAATAACATTTCTGCAGGCATCGGCTGAAGCTCAACTGGAATATCACAAATGGGCAACGGAGGCATTCACCAAATTGGTCTCGGAGTTGAGAACGATGTAGGTCGATACTATTCAAATTAATGGCGTTTAAAACACCATTTGGTGTATGTAGACCTGAGTAGAGCACTGCACGAGGAAAGGATGACTAGGTAAGGTAACGTACACTGTAGGGCTTTGAACCTATTAATTAGTTTGGGGTAAGTCTTTTGAGCAATAATTGCTTTTACCTTAATGAACGGCTGAAGTGAATTGTGAGGAGGAGAGGCCTAGAAAACCTATAAAAATTCAAGGGTTCATTTTTTTACCCAGTAGAAGTGGGCAGGTCCTACTGGTGGCGTGTGCGGTCCCATTTGACTAACATCTCTCCGAAGTCAGACGTTTTACAGGTTCGACAATCGTGTGCACGTCAGTAGATCCTTTCATAATCACAGTCATTGGCACTGTCATAGTCACTGCTATTCTACTTATTTTAAAAACCAGAGGATCATTCGTAATTCACCGAGTCTTCGCAAACTTTTCATCTTGGAATTTGCGCCTTTTACCCCCTAACATCATAACTGGAGTCTCGTGCCAGAAAAATATGTGGTTTCATGCGCTCACCTTGTGTTGGATTGATTCACTGTCACAGCGAGAGAAGGAGTGCTCGGTACCCAGCGATCCCTAAATCGCGGTGAGGTGGAGGCTTGTCTAATGCAATTTGTGCATTGGTCTGCTGGAGTGGGTAGATAAGTAAAGGCGCGAATAAATGTGGTGCGTGTCGCTTTACAAAGGTTTTGTGGCACAACCTATCAAGTGCCTGTGGTGTGTCTAGCAATGCGTGTACTTGTGAGCTCCCTGCGTCAAAGACACTCGTAGCCAAGGCGTTCAGACTAGCAGTCAGGCCAAGTGGCCCACCCCGGGCTTGGAAATTATTGCTTCCAAAAGCGGCATTAGTAGCGTTGCCTCTGCCCCTAAAACTGCGTGTGTGGTGGCTGCCATTCACCTTGGTATCGCTGACTCAATCTTCAAATGTCGATCAAACCTTCATTTACTATGAGAGTCAACATCTATAGCATCATTCATTTCAATCACATTTTGATCAATTTACCATCTGAAATGTAACAAATCTACCCTTTTACACACACTAATGTTCAGCATTTCGGTTAAGTATAATAAAATATCAAATGATTTATATAATGTAACCAAATGGAATCGAGAGGCTTTCCATAACGAACGGTAAGCAACTGCAGGAACCTTTCTGAGTTACTTTGTTCCTTAATTTTGTCACAAGTGAAATCCATGATCCTTTCCCAATGAGATGCGAGCTCGCTGTCTGCGGAAGCAAGGAAACTTGGCTCAAGCTATCCAGAGAATTGGAAGGATGAGGAAGCACTTCCTTTCCATCCAGTTTCATCAAGTAGATAGATCTCATCTGTAACTTTCCGGCCTCCAGGGAGCGAGCAATCCTGTCCAAACGCAATACATGTGTAGTCTTCTGGGAATTGGACAATGCGTCTCCTAGAACTGTGTGAATGGTGGGTGGATCTGTTGAGGATAGCAAAATGGTGTGTTTGTTTGTCTGACGAACGCTGCAGTGTAAAAGTCACCCTTCTCATCGCAAGTTGGTGAGCAAACAAGTTGAGATTCCACGATGCGTTTCCAGCATCCTGAGAGCCTTTCAAATCCACTGCCACTAGTCAATGCATAAAATGTGGGTAAAACCCATTTGCGTAGTCGCTTCCACAACTTCACGAGGTGATTTTGGTGTAAACTAATTACTTCATCAATTACGTCACATTAAACACAGTAGAAGGTGGGCCTTGGCACGCTTCCAGTTGTTGCGGTCAAAAGGGGCGTGTACCTCTCTAGGTCGATCGGGAATGGAGGGTCTTTCTCGCTGAGATGCATCTGTCTTAAAGCGATTTATCCAAAGCATTGAATGTTTCCAATCGCTTCTGCCATCGCGTGCTGCACCTTCTACGAGTCCTATGCAGCCATAGAACAAGGTTTTATTGTCATTCATTCGGTCAGCCATACCGTCACTCGACCGATAGAGGTCCTTTGAACTTATCTGCATCCCTCATGTCGTGCTTTTCCCACCTCTGGTGACTCTCATGTCGTAGAGAGAGATTCATTAGTCAAGTGGGTGCCAGTCACTGGTTCAGGCTTACCGGGGAAGAACTGAGAAGTGTAATAGGTGAAAGAGGCATGTTAACTTTCACACAAAATCTGGGATGAATAAGACATGCAGTATCATAGTTTTGTTGATACATCGCTGAAAGAGCAGTTATAGCACAATCATTTACAGGTCTTTTTATAGCTCTCTAACAATGTATTTCATGTGTTGTGTCAACAGTCGGGGCAACGCGGCAGACAATGTGCCCGATACGACCTTGGATACCACCTTAAACGGCGGTACGACATACTACGATAAGCCGCAGTCTAACTTCGGTTACGCTGCCGTTGTGAAGAGGACGCCATCAACGGCTCAGAGTAGGCCCTATTCGGTCTCTTTCCTTTTGTGCTCTAATACGCTTACCTTATTCTTTTCCAAAGGGAGTAAGCTGATCGGTTAGAAAAGGAAGCTTTTGCATTCGTTTGAGCACTCGGTGAGTGGATGAAACTGGTGCGTGCTTGTTCGAGACTGACATGAGTGACGCGACGCAGCATGCAGTCTCCACTGCCATCGCTGTGATGCCCAGGAGCCAGTCTGATTGGCTGAAGTAGGAGCATCTAGCAAATTCACTCACTCCTTTTGTCACTTTGATAACAGAAAAGTAACTCCCAAAGCCATAGCTAGTAACATGGGATTACTGTTCCAACTAGTAATTTTAGGGTGTGATTCGGGCAATTTTTCCCCCACTTAACTATGTCAGTGGCTTCCCATATAAAGTGAAGACCATCTCACTGTTGCAAAGGTGGAACCGTGAATACCTCATGGTGATTAGGGGCGAAATTCATGTGTCTCCCTTCTTTTTGTTAATCGTTTGTGGGGCTCGACGTTCTCTAAAAGAGCGTTTTTATAATTTCGTGTGTAGATGACGCCCAAAAGACGACGAAAGCGCTGACCAATTGCAAAGCATTGTACGACTTCGAAGCAGAACAGGATGATGACTTGAGTCTTAAAAAGGGTGACATTGCAACAATTCTTGAAAAGGTAGGCCTTTCCTTGGTTTCTACAATGAATCTTCCCCATAAATGTACATCCTCACACGCAATGACCACAAAATGTATCGAGACATAAAGCTTAAATGGCAGTCATAAGTCCTCGACTGGGTGCACTTCCTGGATGGTGAGGTGCTGCTTCGGAGATTGGAGATGCTGAATTTTTAGAATCCGATGGAAATGTAATGGTCTGTCTCTCGTTAAGGTGGATGACCAGTGGTACTTTGGCGAGAAGGACGGACGCCGAGGACACTTCCCGGTGGAGTTTGTGCAGGTGCTTGAGTAATTTACCCCAGGGTGAGAATCGCCCCGCCAAATGATATTTTGTGATACCCCACAGGACCACAACTATAATTGCTATTTTCATTACATCCTGACTTCTCCGAACCCCTCGCCCGGCGTCTTTGAAGCACCATGCTTTTTCTTATCCGTGTGTAAATACCATTATGTCCTAAAATAAATTCCATGGTAAAACAAATTGGATAAATACATGTACTGCCAAAATGCGCCCACATCGTAAACCAGCGGTCTACCGCAAATCACTCAGTGCAAACCACATTGTTTTGTGCTCAAGAACTGGTGCTTAAGAGAGCGAGTTGTTTACTTACTTGACTACCCTTGTTCCAATCGGCAAGGTGTGGTTTAGAGGGTTATCTAAACTCACTCTAAAACTGTGTTTCAAGAGAGGTGTACGCACAACGTTTGATAAGTGGGACCCATGGCAAGGAGTGCGAAAACAATGGATGATTTAATCAGGTGGAGCTCAACTGTTGATGCCACTTATTCACCTGCATGTTGCCATCATTTTATCACCCAAATATATGATAGTTTTGAAATTATAGTGAGATTAGAAGGCAGCGCTCGAGCCTTTCCTAAATTTGGAAGGGGATATAACACTAGAGCATTGCCGCTATGCAGAAAGGTTGGAAGCGACTCACATGACCCAGAGACCAAGCCGACCGGCGTGACTAGATGGGCAGAGCCTGAAGTATTCGCGTAATCGGAATGGACAGTTAAACAAGCAGTCAAAGTACAACATACCTCCCTCCACTTGAGTGTCGTCCCCAACGTTCCCCTTGGTTAACCTCCCACGTCGACCGTCACAAAGCAGTCGGTGCTGTAAGGCAGCCACGAATCAACCCCACCAGTCATTCCATTTGCGTGCAAATGAGAAGATATTTGGCCTCGACGTCTTCGAACTCATTTTGGCAATTCCACTGGATCCGCAGTTGTGGTCTGCTTGGAAACTCGATTGAAGGAATGGAAATGTGCCAATTTCTTAACGTTTGAGAGGGTCGCGCTGTGGCTCGCTCCTCCTTAACGAATCCGTGTCTATCTCTGAGTCTGTTGTATAGTCAGCAGACACAATACTTCCCTTGGGTACGCAGTGAAGACATCACACCGTAGTCTTTAGCTGCCACTTCTCTGGTTTGAGGCCTCAATAGGACCCAGTACTTCAACTATAGAAACTCCAAGACATAAAACAGGCAAACCAGTTTAATAGTGTCCTCGAAACCTCTAAATCGGGGTTTACAAGACCAATTTTATTTAATAGTGCCACTAACGAAGAGGGTTTATGTGATTCCCCGGATTTGATCAAGTAGCAAATGTTGGAAAATTCTCGCCCTACATCCTTGGGATGTTGATCAGTTCTAAAATACGGAAGAGTTTAAAGAGTAATGGGAGCAATTAAGCTAAGGAAAGAAAGCGGCGCATTTATAACAGTGAAAATTTTAGCTATTTCCCGACCTATTTCCTTGCATAGATAGATACTTAACGAAACAGGTAACTAGCACCTGGAACTCTTAAGGCTAAAAGATTATTAAATGAGGTTAAGCATATGGGCAAAACCTGCATCAATTGTAGCCAGCAATGTTTGTTAATGTCCCAACAAAAAACATCTTAATGTGAATTCGCAAAATGTTGGGCATAGATTAAGCTTCTAGTGTCAAGTGCTCAAAGTCCTGAGTGTTTACGGAGCTGATTGTTGTTTAATGGACTGGGAATCACCTCTCCCTGAATCGTTAGAACTGTAAAAATGTACAGCTGAACTCGAGGCATTTACACCAAGCCAATTCAGAACTGTGGTTCACCTCCTCCCACCTCACCATCCCATATTAGCTTAGAGCTGATAAAAAGGTCTGCTAAATTTGCATCATTCACAGAGTGAATCAGTGCCACGTCCACTTCCGTACACCTGCTACTTGGCACAATGGGTAGCAGTCGATGAGCTGGACTGTCTTTTTGCATACATGGAGACTACCCCTAATAGGGGAGCATTTGCCATCTACTATAGCCTCCTGCACCACCACAGTAGCATCCTTTGCCGTGCCTGCACACTCTAAGGGCAAACACGAGCGCAAACATGTCTCGCTTGCTATAGATGAGGAGGTAGGTAAATTCACAAACAAAGCTGTTTTGTCAAAAGAACGCCACACAGGCGGTCCACTCGATCCTTGCAATACTCTAGTATGGCACGACCCGGTTTGACATAACTCCCTTTTGCAGTCGGTTGAAGGTTGATTCACATGAGTCAGGGGGTGTCACGTGATTCCGACAAGGCAGGTCTCAGTGTGTCACTCATTTTGGCACAAGAATGTGCACATCAGGGTACACCCAACAGAGGTATGGATGGAAGGCATCGCGCTAACAGGTAAACAGATAAGCAGCCGAGGACCGTGCGGTGCAGGGGAACAAAGTACACTACATCTTCCAAAGAGGCTACTGACGGTGAGGCCGACAATGCTCAATGGGAATAAACTGTCACCGCAAGTTGACAAGCGACTGACGGCAGCGCTTTAACTCATCCAATACAAGCATCGCACGCATGTCACGCACTGATCTTCTTACCTGGTCTCGGTGTGACAAATATGTGTC